TATTTACTGCATGTGTACTCCCTGTTTGTTAGTAAAATAAGAGTGATTAATTTTATCTTACTATCACCGAACTTAAGATTTAATTACCAAACCTATTTTTAAACATGGCTTGTAAGAATATCATTTAACCATAGAATATGTTGTGAATATTGTTAGCTATATACACTGTGTTCAAGATAAGGGTGTCTATCATGGGGATCTCGGAAACCATTGAAGATAAGACGATAGTCAAATTATAGGTACCAGAAAATTACGATTACATCTGAACATGCCAGAAAAACCGAAATTTGTCGATATCGTTTTTATTTTCTCGTTATGTTATTTAAGAAGTCACAGAAAATTAAAAAAAAAAACCATTTTCTCACTGCCACTTTTTGAGCTCTACAAGGCAGCGTTACAGAGAATCCAATGCTTATTGTCGTCAGAGAATGTATTGCTTTTTCTACTAGATACATAATCTATTGGTTACCATTTTATTGCCTATGAAATCGTTTCATTGACAACACAGTTTGCCATATTTTGATGTTGTACGCCGGCAAAAATTTTCCCGGGTCCGTTTCGGTTCAGGAAAGTTCGTTGCTGCAACGTGCTAAAGTACTGCATCGGCGTATTTTGAGGTCTGAATGTGCTTCGAGAAAGAAGGCATTCTCAAGCGATTTCAAAAAAATATTTTTTCTACAACTGTCAAAAAAACCTGTCATTTTCTGACGAATTTCGAAGCGCGAAGTACTAGATTTTTAAACGGTTAATTAATAAGTAAGGTTGCCCTTGACAACGTGCGCGAAATCGTCAACAGTGAAAAAAAGTATTTCGCGCACGTGACAAAGTTGAACTTAAACAGCAAATTTAATTAACAATCGGTTCAGTTGTAGAAAAAATATTGTATATAACGCTAGCGCGAAGTTATTTCGCGCATTTGACTGATATTTTAACTCGGCTTCGCCTCGTCAAAATACCTTCAGTCTCAATGCGCGAAATTGAACTTCGCGCTCTTGTTATATAAATAACTATTTTCTACAACTGTCAAAAAAACCTGTCATTTTCTGACGGATTTCGAAACGCGAAGTACTAGATTTTTAAACGATTAACGTTAATTAATAAGTAAGGTTGCTATTGACAACGTGCGCGAAATCGTCAACAGTGAAAAAAAGTATTTCGCGCACGTGACAAAGTTGAACTTAAACAGCAAATTTAATTAACAATCGGTTCAGTTGTAGAAAAAATATTGTATATAACGCTAGCGCGAAGTTATTTCGCGCATTTGACTGATATTTTAACTCGGCTTCGCCTCGTCAAAATACCTTCAGTCTCAATGCGCGAAATTGAACTTCGCGCTCTTGTTATATAAATAACTATTTTGATAAATAGGTGCTTTGGCATTAAAAAAATTGATTGATCGATTTTTCTAGGACTTCCCGCGGCTATAGAGATAGACTATTTTAACATAGTCATGGCACGCTAGATTAAAATTTAAGAGTAAAATGTCAAAAGTTGATCAAAGAATGTACGAATATACAAGGTGTCCTATTTACAACTCAAAGGATATTTCGCTTTCTGATGAAACAATAACAGAAAAACAATTGAACACACCTAGTATGTACTTCATAAGGTGGGAATAGACCAAGCAAACATTGTTGTGTTGCGCAACACGTACCCACTGTGTAAACTTGTGTGTTTTTCGACTGTTGCACAACAATGTTTGCGTGGTCTATTCCCACCTTATAAACGCACAGTTGACAAACCACCTTTGAAACATCCAATACGAGTATATTTCCCGCCCGCTGATTATTCGACCCTTGAATGGTAACCAGAACAAGCGTATCTTTAGATGCTCGAAAAATGAGACGCAGGATCACATGGCACCAATCACTTCGAGGGTTTTGGTGTTAATAACCGATAACCCCTAAAAAGACTTCGCTGTTAATGCAAAATGTGTCGAATTATGATAAAGTTTAATAAAAGAAATTCAAACTGCTCAACGCTGAGCACGTTTTCAAGTGAAATATTTCTGTTTTATACGTACTGCACTTAAAGGTGACTTGAATTAATTGAGTCTGTAATCTCAAAACTAGTTAGTGCCTCCATGTTAGTTAGTTAGTCCATGCAGATCGTGCGACTGACGTCCTAAAAATCGGGGACTAATCTTGAAATTCATGTTAATTAAGCGCGCTTCTAACAACACTAAGACCAGTTAATTATACTCACTTAATTGGCGGGATTAAAATTTCCAATTCGGTACCCCAGTAATACCCATTTTACCCGGAATTTCGAGTCGGTATAACAGAAGGTCTGCGATAATTAATAAACTGCACGGCCTTACAGCTTTAAATGTTTGTTTTAAATTAACAAAGAGAAACTGAAATCGGCTAATACCTAATTAACATAGCTGAAATTCCAAAATATTAATTTTTAGCCTGCTTCCCCAGCTGTCAGATGCTACTAACATACTAGTAATTTATACAGTGAATTTTTTTTAAATGCGAACATAGGAATTTGCATGTAATGTAATTTCCCTATGTTCGATTTTAAGAAAAACACATCAATCTATTGAGTAGTTCAAATGAGTAGTAGATACAATTGACAACTGCCACATTTTTAAAAATACCGCCGTCAAATTTAATTACGAAATCTGTTAGGTTATTGCTTAGAATGTCAAGGAGGACACTTCAAACATTTATTGTAATTGTTTTCGGTATTTATTTTCTTATTTTCTTCATTTATGTATTGAATAGACCAAATTATTAGAATACCAGGTGCACATGACCTACAAATAATTGAAGGTTGGTTCACAATGAATTGTGAGGTCAAGTTATCGTAAGTTTAAGAAAAATGTATCCTAAAGTTGCCATGGCCTCACATGGCTTCTTTAAAAAAATCCTACCGAGTGCTCTTCATCATAAAGACTATAGAGTTGCTGTTCATAGTCACACAAGTTGCGCGATTTGGGAATGTGAACCGAGCACACCTCATAGATTGATGTGTTTTTTTTTAAATCGAACATAGGGAAATTACATTGCATGCAAACTCCTATGTTCGCATTAAAAAAAACTCACTGTATATCTCTACGGGAAATTTCACGATGATTTTCGGTGCTAGAAATCAAAGCAATTACTTTTACCTTCTTCTAGTAAAGAAATGCATAGGTCCATAAGTCTACAGTTTATCGTAACGAAGTGCCCGGTTGAGTTAATCGAAGTACAAGATGTTCAATAATGCTAGAAGCTTCTAATTCATTAACTGTGATCTAATTTCTGCACAAAAACGGGTGCTTCGTTACAATCTGACTGTACTTCTCCATGTTACGCCAATCATCACGGTAGGTTATATTAGCTATAACCCTTGTAGCACGGCGTTGCAATATAAAAGCATAACTTGCTTGAAAGGGTTTCCCCCTGAGTTTTAGTACAAATGACAATTAGACTATGACATAATGCATAATATGCACTTACCAAGGTAAGCTGAGATACATTACTTTTAAGTTTCCTTATCACAATTAAATTTTTTGTAAATTTTGGATAGTACATTGTTGACATACATATGACAATAGCGCATGATAATAATTTTAGATCATGGTGCTTTTAGAGCGAACAACACTAACTTTCTCTGTTTTTAACATATTAAGGCATAACTCATTGTTATTACACCAATTATTTATCGCAGTAATTTCTCTTTGAATATCTGACATTACGTAATCCAAATTTTTGCTGTGAGTTAAAAGCGTTGCATAATTTGCATATAAGAAACAAGGTGTATCGCTTGATTGATTGATATAGTTGAAGAACAAGACCGGGCCAAAAATGCTACCTTGAGGTACTGCCTTTGTGATAAGGCATCCCTGTAGAGTACGTATTATTTATATACCCGCTTTCAGGAATAATAGATTGTTACTCTCAAAGTAATGAGAATGCTTGAGTAATTGTGTGCGCACATCGGTTTTCAGATCATACAAAAAGGTTATTTCAGTCCTTTTAGCTAAACAGTAGGTATCCCATTTTTAAATTGTTGCAACTAAACGATTTTAATTAACTCAAACAACAAAAGCAAAGTACAGACAAAACAACAACAAAATAAGCAGCAAATAGTAAAAGTAACAAAAAAGAATGATTTCTGGAATCTTTCGAGTTTCGAAACAAACAATCAAAACGTGTAAAATTCGTTACGAGCGACCCAGAGCTCGTTTATGGTAAAACTCGAAGTGAATAGAACAAGTAAGAACACACAACCTCCACCATCTGAATGAATACCTAACTATTTGGAAAATAGTTAAACAGTTATCGACTAGTTTCGACATGCTGTCATCTTCTGGTTATAATTAGGTTGTGTGTTTTTAATCTCTTTTTCGACTCGTTCATGATTTTGAACTTTCTGTCCGTCCGTCCGCCTGTATACATGATAACTAACGAACGGTTTCATTTTCCAATTCTGTTTTCAGTAATAGGTAGACAAAGGTCAAGGAATAAATGTTAGTCATTTCCATTAAACTTCCCTTGGCTATCTAAATAGACGTATTTTGGTAATTTCTTGAATCAAAATTCAAATTACCAGAACCAGTGGTTCAGTAAAAGTCCTGTATGCTTGATAAATCCTTTTTTTGCATAGTATTCACATTGCCGGACTTTTTTTTGTAAAAAAATGTGTTTTACACGATTTTCACTATGCGTTTCCATGGCGTTTAGTCCTATGAACAATAGCATCTATTTTTAAGTGACTGTAATGGTGGGTTTATCCAATTATTATTATTAGTTCACTAAGCAACGCGCAATAAACCTTTGTTTCTATTGGCTATTACTTTTGATAGTGGACTAATGATAATGATTGTATAAAGAAAATATCACTTTCAAAACTAGTTGTACAAATAGCTATTTATTTCCGACGCACACTTGGTACTTAATTTTCATTTCATAGTTCGTTTATACACTCATACAATTTATTAATATTTTTGTTGTTATTACGTCTAATTCGTTCTTTGCATCACGTATTGAAATAATAACTTGTTTTAGGTATTTGACTGTCGATATGTGACAACGACGAGTGGTATGTTCGAGGCACTATGCAATCATATCAAATATGCAACGAATAAAGGGAACATTAGGTAAGTCACATCTCAAATAGAATATTAATTGTAATTCTATTATAACATTATTTGATTGTGGCCTTTGTATACCCCTTGTCAAACCAAATATCTTCCAAAGTTATAATTTTGAATAACACAGTCTGACAGTATGTATTAACATGCTAATTTACCTCTTTATAATACACCAACATCCCGTGTACTTACTTGGGATCTCATTCCCATTCATTTTCACAGATGAATGGTAAAATAAACCAAGCAGTCGAAATATGTAAATAGTGTTGCACTTAAATCAACCCTAATTAGCGAAGGCTGTCAGATGTATAATCCGTATACATGTAAAAAAATTCGTGGCTTTTGATGGGATGTTAGTAAGAAGCCATTCAACCTAAACTGGAGGTCTAGTAAAGATGAATTTATCTAAGCCATTTCATGCACGTGAAAAGCACTCATCCTAGCTGAATAAAACATTAAATTTAGCTATCATAAATATTTCACTTACGGTGTTAAAAGTAGAGATTTTATATTTCTAGGTGCGAGACGAGATTTAAATATATAAGGTGCAAAAGATATCAGAATGTAGACTTTATTCTTAAATCCATTCCCGCTTTTAGAGATAATCTGGTAGCGTTTCCTTTTTAAATTTATTTTCTGACGCAGCTGTTCGTTTTACTTTATATTAATTAGGTGCAGCGAAAACCTCAGGGAATTAATTAACCTTCGAGTGTTAGGTATACTTTATAATTAAAAACACTTTTTATACGCTTAAATGAAATAAGGTACATCAATTCTCTTCTCATTTATCTGCTGAAGATCCTTCTCGTGCCTTTAAGACCGATATTATAAAGCAAGTGGAATGGCACTTATAATTCAGCGTGTTTCCGTAGACCGTTAGAAGTTTACCAAGTTCGGTTGTGAGCTATTTAATGAAAATGTTTTCAGAGTTTTTCCAATACCGCCTACTTTTCAATTTTTTATCTATTTTATTATTATTATATAAGGAAGCGGCCATTTGTCACAAGCGTTTCTTCTTCTTCGTATACAACAAATTACTTGACTTTATTTGTCTGTTTGACAATTATTTTATCGTGAACCTGCAAAAGTTAGTATTTAGTGCCGAAACTCCGAGCAATGCACTTCGGAGAGGAGATCGACATCATGCAGGATCTGCAGATGAACCGCTGGAAAGACAGATTACAACCACCCAAATCGAAATCGAAATCGAAACGTTGAGAATTTGTTCAGATCCATTACGGAACAAATAAGGAGTCGAGACCCAGAAACGAGAATATTCAATAGCACTGATCCTTGAACTCGTAGAAATCATTTGGCGAACGTGTGAGATCGCTGTCCCGTTAGACGAAGAACAGACGGACAGACAGAGAAAAAACCATCACAAAGGGTAATTTTTTTTTTTCGAAAACTTCCCCTAAAAGGGCTGCCGACTTAACAAAAAAAAGATTACTTTGAAAATTAACGGTGTTTAAGAAGATATTGAATGTGCCAAAAATTTGAGACATTAGATTTTCAAAAACGTTGCTCTCATCTTAAAAATATCGATCTCTTCGCTTAATTATGCTACAACGCATGGCGCTGCGTTCTCCCAAACCCGCCTCATAAACGGCCAACTAGCTCAGGGTTAAACACAAAATAAGAGCTTGAGAAACTTGCACAGCGGTAATTCGTTCTGGGTAAAATAATCTTCGGACTCTTCGTTGCATTTACCAAGGAGCGCAACTCAATTTCTGGTCTACCTCTCCCCGTATGAAATTGAGAAGATACGAGAGGATTAAAAAGAGTACAAGTCATTTTAAGTTCAAATATTCCGAAAATTTTAAGTTACATTACACATACAAAGCTTAATAACTTGAATGGACAACTTGAATCGTATTCCAATTTAACAAAGCTCTAATCAAGAATGTTCGATTCTATATATCGACTATTTGACTTCAGAACAAGTCTCCACAAATAAATTAAATTCGGGCAACAATTCCACAAATACAAGAAAACATAAAAAAAGGCAACGCTTGCCTTGCTGTAAATTGATTCCATCCAGAGATGTGAGCTCAGATCTCGGATTTTCCCATAAATCTGAAAACAAAAGAAAACTCCCAAGTCGCAGAGCTCGGAATACCCTGAAATGACGATAGCAGAAGGACCTCGCTTACTTGTTGTATGCACGATTACAAGTACGATCATTAAACGCCCATCCCACTTCAGAAAGGTGACATTAAAATGGATGTTTTATTCCCACGAGTAAACTACCAGAAAGAAAGAACTTTGGAGTCCTCGCATTTAAAAAAAGGGCAGGGTTAAGTATAAATAAATGTGCCACATTCAACAAAATAAACGGGGAACAATAATAATGCTTCTAATGAGGAAAATAAACCGTTCCAATGCCTCTAGAAAAATCTTTATCACGCAAAGAAATATCTCCTGAAACTAAATGAACCACCGTTGAGCGTCAAAATGTAACAGGGCATCACCGGGTTGCAAATAAATACGAATTTCTTGAAAATTTACTGAAATTGCTCAATCAAAAAATGGACTGCTTCTACAACTTTCCGTATTCAAAATCAAATTTAATGTTAAATTTAAAGAGGCAAGTATAGGTATTAAAACTACTTTTTTTTCTTTTAGATGACACTGATTTCCTTCTCCTAACCTAACATCTAGATTTTAAAAGCATTGAGGGTGATTAAGATCCCTCTTTTACAAATTCCTTTGAACCTTAGTATCTATTTTTTCAACTCAGTTAGAAACTTCAATAATTAAGTTTACTTTCAAATGAAAAACGAAACTTGGTTTTTCTAACTGAGTTAATACACAAAATTACATACATTTATTACCTAACATCTGATATGATATGATATCATAGAAAATTATCTTTTGAGAAATCCCCAATTATCTGTCAAAGGCTCGGTTAACTGGATATAAATCAAATATTTACTTTAAGGTTAACTTAGTAGCACACCTATATACAAACAACAGATTGCTAACCTTAAGGTATCATTCCGATCTTGACAGTCGAATTTCGTTAGGTATACTCGTACAGTGACTTTATACTGACGGTGTGCCCATGAGCGTGACGGCCGCAATGTTTCCTCCACAAATATAGTAGGATACGGCTTAACATATACAGAGACTTAACTCCCATTGGTTACATTAAACTGTATCTATGATTCTGCCACAGCTTACTTACTATTTAAGCTGTTTCTGCTACATGTAATTGGTTATTGTATGTTTAGAAGTGCATTTATTAGACGAATAATAGAAATTTGTGTTAAAATACTTGAAATTGGATAGATTAAGATGTAGGTACTCCTTGTTCGAACATGTGTGGGATAAAGTAGCCGGCTTAGACAGAGTAGAGTTCAGTTAGTTGACTGGCAGATTGTGTTCATTCAAATAGAGATTCTCCTTCTTACATTAAAACATTAGGGCATTGGCGTTCTGGCACTGTATGTTGGTATACTTAAAACCGCCCCCTATTAAGCAGCACTATAAATATGTATCTTTCGAAACAGTCAAATTATGCTTATGTATTTCTACAATAGATGCCGCTGCAAAAATTTATAGCTTACAACGAATGACTAACTCCACTGTTCAATTTAAACAATACTGGCTCAGCGTACCTCCTATCATATCATATCACTGTCGAAATACCAATAATAATAAGGAACCCGAATTCTGCAAACTTCAGCATTTTTTGCAGCGACATGTATTGCATAAACTTTTGCGTTTTTTTTTTCGGAAGCCAATTTCGTTAACTATTTATTCTCGCGAATGACTTTTCTATTACATTGCAAGATTTAATTCCCTCTTTGAGTGGAAGTTAATCAGTTTAATCTGCACGTTTAACTTTCACTGCAATTGCACCGAAAAAACCCGTATATCGCGCCGTTTTCTGCTTTAAAGCTCTACTTTGATTTGTTTTCTCTCGTCCTCCTCCGCAATTTCCACCCAGCCAAAATCTAAAATGTTTCACACAAAATCTTGGGTTACTTACTAAAACTTTCTACTGTTTTACGCGCGATTAATTTGGTTTTCGCCCAATTGTCCTACGGCCTCATACTCGACTTTTTCGACGCCTCATCGCGTAACGGTCGATAACTATTATGTTTAACCACGCAGTTGATGCTCCCGTGGTCCACAACCGAATGTTCTACTGTGCGTATCTGTTTAGTCCTTACTCTTCTTTTACAAATATAGTCCGCCCTCAAAATGGTGCTAAATTAGCTAATCTAAATCATTTTTCTTAACTAATGGTCGTTTTTGGTTGTGAGAATGGCCAATTCCAAGATGGTATCTACTACAATCGATACCGCCGGCATTGTGATCGAAAGTCTACAGATTGAGTCAAATCTATCGACCAAAGAAAACTATGTAGATATTTGGTAGAACGTAGAAGAGGACCACTTCAATTTTATAATTTGTTCCGCGAGATGTAACATTAAATACGCCAAAGAAGCGACTATTATTTGGAAAGAATCATTTTTTACCTTTTTGTTTTTTTGGCGTCATTTCATCTTTCAATCAAAATTGGAAACTAAGAGTGAATTGGGACTGGAACATGTAGGTATTGAAAATTGAATTGACCATTATCGCAAGCAATCCACCCTACGCTCCATATTTAGAACCTTTTTTTGCTCACATCTAAAAATACATCAGGAGGCGAAAATTTGCCTCAGGTGTTGACCCGCTCCCGGAAAGTTTACCGAAAACAGTTTACCGAAAACAGTTACCCGAAAACAGTTTACCGAAAAACAATTCACCGAAATGGCAATATACCGAAAGAACAATACGTCGAATTTCAATTGACCGAAAAGCCGTTTTACCGAATCACACTTTACCGAAAGGAGAGTTTACCGAATATTAACATAACCATCGAGGTGGAAATGTGCTCGCCCGAAAAGATGTTTTTTTTTGTAAAATTCGCCATCCTCAACCAAACGATCTTACGCCCAATTTGCAATCTGTTGACAGTTCAGGTGGTCCTAGCCAGTTCATAATTTTGCAATGTCTGTTCGTCCGCCTGCCTGTCCTTTAGCATGATATCTCGAAAACGAACGGTCCGATTACAATAAAATTTTGCAGGTGGATTCTTTATCAAATTTGTAGATCGGAGTTCGTGAATTGGCAATGTAGGTCAAAAAAATGAAGGCCACGATCTTACTCATGGTTGAGTCAAAACTTCAAACGCGAATTGCGACTGAACGAGACGTCGGAGTTTGGAATATTGTTAATGTACTACAATTATATTAAACAGGAAAGGTCCAAGATGACATTGCTGATACAATAATTATGACATTAATACTATCAATAGTTAATACTATTATGTTTCTAACAACTTTTCCTTCACACTTTACCAAGGCTTAGGACTTGCAGCTCAAAGTGGCGTATTTAGAAAGTCAGAAACGAATTCCTTTGTCATTTTTTGTTTTTTAAATTTTTTTGTCTTTGTTCCGGAAATTGAATTCCTTTTTCGTTTTTTCTTTTGTTTTTTGATTTGTTCTTGTTTTTTTCAAAACGGGAGAAATTTTCGGTAAACTCTCTTTTCGGTAAAGTGTGATTCGGTAAAACTGCTTTTCCGTAAATTGAAATTCGACGTATTGTTCTTTCGGTATATTGTCATTTCGGTGAATTGTTTTTCGGTAAACTGTTTTCGGTAAACTGTTTTCGGTAAACTGACAAAAAAGCGCGCCGTTTTTCGACATAATTGATTATGAAGTATTACATAGTATTCGCAAAAAATATGTGCCTTTTTTAGGTAATAACCTAGTAACACAAAACACACAAAACGTACATCTCTAATAAGAGCCTTCCCTTACAAAACTTCCAATTCCGTGTAACTACGGTTAATTATTTCAGGTCTGCTATTACCGTCTTTCCTCAACGTACGGATGGAAAGCACGATTACAGAATATGGAACCCCCAACTAATTAGCTACGCCGGTTACAAAAAACCTGACGGAACTATCATCGGTGACCCACAGAACGTCGAGTTCACTGACGTCTGCATAAAATTGGGATGGAGAGGACACGGCACCATGTTCGATATTCTCCCGCTGGTGTTGTCTGCCAACGGTCACGATCCCGATTATTTCGATATACCGAGCGAGCTTATATTGGAAGTACCATTAAAGCATCCCTCGTAAGTATAAAGCTTTGAAGCGAGTTTGTATTACACTTGGAGACACGCAGATTTAATGTGAGGAATTTGCAGATTTGAGTGGTTCGAAAAGCTGGGATTGAAATGGTACTCGCTTCCAGCGGTATCGAACATGATGTTCGACTGTGGTGGTCTACAATTCACTGGTGCCGGATTTAACGGGTGGTACATGAGTACCGAAATTGGGTGTCGAAATCTCTGTGATACATACCGTTTTAATATGTTAGAGGTAACGATGGAAAGTGGCGGTAGAAAACGTGTTTGACACTTTTAAATTTTGCAGACTGTAGCATTAGCGATGGGCTTAGAAACTCACACTAGCGTCACACTGTGGAAAGATAAGGCGATGGTCGAGTGCAATCTAGCCGTTTTGTACAGTTTTCAATTAAAGGGAGTGACCATTGTTGACCATCACACGGCATCGGAGTCGTTCATGAAGCATCTTGAAAATGAAACACGACTACGTAACGGTTGTCCTTCGGATTGGGTTTGGATAGTACCGCCGATGTCGGGTTCTGCTACTCCGGTGTTTCATCAAGAGATGGCTTTGTACCATCTGAAACCATCCTATGAATATCAGGTAATTTATTTTTATACGTTTTATGTGGGGCTATAATCCCATTGGGTACAAAGGGGTTCAATTTGTAGATGCTCTTTGATGTAGGTAGGTATTGCGTAACATATTTTTAGTTATTTGAGTTGTTTCGCACATCTCCCAGGACGGTGAATTTTTCCGTACCTACTCGCTCGTACTTTTATTGTATGTTCACTGTACATGGTTTGAAATGTAACTCCATCTGCTGAGCTGAGTTGAATGGAATGTATCTACCATATGAACATTAAATTAGGAGATTTTATAATTACACTGTACACACAACAACAGCAATCTGTCTAGAATGTTCTCGTGTTTTATCGCCGATGACTAATCTCTCTTGGCACCTCGATGTCTATCGGGATTTCTAGAATATTCGCTAAAAAATGTCTCGGAACATAGACGACGGTTGTAGCGGAGACATTCCCAGGTAACTCTTGTTCTATAGCGCCCAAACCGGAACTGAAGCTATACCACGGGACATTTTGACATCAGCTCCGGAATATAGTGCCATCTGTGTATAAACTACATATTTGGTTGATTCTTAAGTGATGCGACTTGGGATGTCAATCTCCGAGGCATAACTTATCCAGATCGATGCGTGCCCCTTCCCATCGACCCGTTCTAGCTTTCTTGTTTATCGGTCACTGTACTGTCGAGACAATTCTTTCTGATGTGTCCGTTTTTACCACAACCAAAGCATCGCATGGTCGCATCGATGTCCATCGGTATTTCTAGAATATTTACTTCCACAATCGCAATCATCCTCATCATCATGGGGATGATTTTCATTAACTGTTTTTTACGATTTAAAATTATTGAAGGTTTTTGGCTATTTGGGCATTTAAAGTAGCACAAACAATTTCGGTTTAATATAGCGCTAATTATAATTAACGCCAAAAACTAAAGGCGGATGGTCTTTGTTAACACTCACTAAAGACAGCAGTGACTGAACACATGATGAAACATCAAATAAAAGTATAAACAATTTTTAATATCGAGGGTGCAATTTATTAACCGAAACGAAATTACTTCAACCTGTGACTAAAATGCAACTCGTTAGAATATTGATAACTGGTAAAGTCCTTGGATACCTTCATAAAAAATCCTGGACAGTTACTAAACTAGCTAAGAGTAAGTGAGTTCAGCGAAGAGAAAACGTATCGCGACATGAAGTCGGCAATTCTTTCTTTCACAAATAAAATATGAAACCCCAATCCACGGTCCGGAAGTATATAAGTAAAAGGGATAAGTATAATTTCACAATAAAACGCATTCGAGCAAATGTCTAAAAATTAGTCAACACTGATGTCTACTGTCATGTACAGAATTTCTGAAACTTACGTACGAAAAGAGAATGTAGACACAAGTAAGGTCCTGACAGATATTGTTTTGTGATCTTACAAAGACCACCTTCATAAAATTGGATTATCCTTTGTTATTCCTCAATTTGCCATAACACAAAACCTCAGATTACTTCACTTTTTATGTACAAGAGTCTTTTAGGGTTCCGTACGGCGCACGGTGATTCCGGTTCATTTTTCATCTTTGTGGAAAATAATAATGAGATTATGTTGGTAGTGTTGGAAAGTTGTTCACTTTTGACTTGCCATATTATTATTTACGTTGTTGCATTAAAAGTTATTAACTCGGGAATTACGTAAACGAAACACGAATGTTTTTGATTAATTGAGGGTTGGAAAAAGTCTTTTTTAGTTAGAAGGAATGATCAGATGTACTTTCTACTCTATAACTATCTATAAGTCTAATAATATAATATAATAAATCTATAAATAAAAAAATTTTTCTTATAGAATGTGGTCTGTAGAATCCATAATTTCAAACAGTTCCAAGATTGGGCTACTAGTTCAAAAGTTACAGCCCTTTGAATTTTCTTTCGAAATTGGTTTCTAGTTTATAACTTTTGATTGAGAAGTCTGATCGAAAAAGTACGAATTGTTTTGGATTCTACGCACCAAAATTAATAAGAAAAAGTGTTTTCCCGAGAAATTTTGGTGCAGTCGATTTTTGGTAAAAAAGGAAGGTTATACACTGCCTTTTTTTGAGGCCCTCAAAAAAAATTGTCTCAGATCGACCCGGAAAAAATTTTTTCTTATAGAATGTGGCCTGTAGAATCCATAATTTCAAACAGTTCCAAGATTGGGCTACTAGTTCAAAAGTTACAGCCCTTTGAATTTTCTTTCGAAATTGGTTTCTAGTAGGGAATGCAATCCCGCAGCAAAATCTCAATCCCGGTATTTGCGGGATTGTTAGATGTTAATCCCGCGGGATCCCGGAATTTGCGGGATCTCGCAAAACTTTAAATAAATTGGCAAATAAGCAATTCTGTGCGGTTAACTTCTGTATTAAAATAAATCGCTAATTATCACAATATTTAACAAAAAAGTACCTTCGGCCTAACTTAGAACTCAAAAAACCTTACCTGTAAATCACAAAAAGTCTTCTAAAGTGCCTCAAAAATCATAGTACATTTTTAACGAAAAAAGTTTAACAATTATTTAAAAAATAATTCGCCGTTATCAGTTTCATCAACAAAGTAAACAGAGTCGTCCCCTTGGTCGACAGATTCCTCAGTCCCGCAAATCCCGCGAGATCCCGCTCCATTTATGTGCGGGATTAATCTCGCAAAAATGCTGCGGGATCCCGGTATTTCGGGATCCCGCAATCCCGGTATTGCATTCCCTAGATGTAATTTTCCAGAGCTTTTATTTGATGTGTCATAGGTACAGGGGGTGATCCTAAGTCAAATTACATCCTTATTGCAAAAGGTTCGCACGTAAAGTGCGTGCATTCCTTACATTGCTTTGATAAAAGTATCTATTTTAGACATTTGTCGGTTCAAACTACTTTTATTGGAGAAAGCTTTTGGCGGTTTTCGCCGCATTAGGCATTGGACTATTGAACATCTTAATCGGTTTGTGCTTCAAGTTATGCATGTCCTTTTAGGAAAATTGCTATTATAGTTTAAGCAAAACCTGCCCTATTGTAATGCATATTGAATGTTTGGTGGATCTGTAACGAGCAGACAAATAAACCGACACACACCCCGGACTAAATAAATTAAGCATTGGTTACAATATCCAACAAAAAATAGGGAAGACTGAGTCCTTTCTAGATTTATTTTGAGATACGTTTATTGCCGCCTAATTAAGCAGCGTTTCAGACACTAGAAATATTTTTTAAAAAATTGCTGTGGCTAGGACAGATTCCACCCGCACACCTGCCCATGAGCGATTTTGCCCTTTTATGTCTAATGCTACGGGGGTTCCTTCTGGACTTGAAAATTACCATCGGTTCCGCCCGGCAAGGCAAACCGTCTTCTTCTTAGGCTGCTCAATCGATAAAAATAAATGCTCCGGCTAACTCAAATCGGTGGGCTTTTAACTCTTTTTAAACTGCGTAACAAACCTTAAACTGCCGCCTACCAGTCTCCTGCGTCAACTCCTACTCCTCCCTTTCCTTCCCCTCGTTCTTCGTTAAAGACAGGCACATTGAAACCAAATAGATAATATATTGAAATGAGATTAGCGATACAAACAATTGACAGGGATCTAGCAGTTCTTCTCTTCTACTTGTAAAAACACTAGCTTAACAATGACAACTACTAACTAAAAAATCCTAACAGGTGAAACTAATTTACTCAAGGGGTGGCCATCCTCTACAGTTTGAAAATTGCAACAACAGGTAATCGTTTTTTAATCCAGCGTGGGCTGGGACTTATTTAAATAAACACAAAAATTTATCCTACTCTTTGGTAATCGTTCATTGGACTTTATTAAACAATCAAATCAAAAATTTTTTTCACGATAGCTTAATTACCAAAAAGTGGAATTTTACAGAATATTACAAATTTAATTAGACTAACCTTTACAACATTTGTACAGCCGATCTTGTGAACTGCTCTTTCCTCTGGTACAGGGTGGATGTGATGAAACCTGACACTTAGGTCTCTGTGACTTCCTAGGGGGTGGCTTGAATTTAACACACGGAAACAAAAATCCACGGTGCCTATCCTTCCTCGGAACGAAAGCAAAGTTTAGTGTTTGAACGGAAACTTAGTCCCGGAAATCCTTCGCGTGGCGAGTGGGAGACGGCTAGTTGCCAAAGTTTCTACACAGCACAGTGTATTTAATTTTTATTTTATTAGTTTATTAGCTTTGACCGCCTGCGGGAGATGAATTTTTGAGTTAGCGGTACGGCAGAACACAAACTTTTATGATCACTATCCGACGGTAAACCGCGATGGTTCAAAGTATTATTTCACCAGCTCTTCTTGGGGCAAATATCTCTCCGAAACGCAGCGCTCCTTCGACAAATGACCTTACGGCACTAATAGGAAATTCCACCTGGGGCGGATCCCGAAATTCTGCGCCTTGAGGACTAGGGCAGCACTTCGAATTATATATCCTCGAGAAATCACAACGTATCCTAACGCGATTCACTGCATCCAAAGTAAACTGGGATGAAGCTCAAGGGTTCGCCAAAATATCACCTGATTGGAACCTGGTCTTCTTCGCAAAAAAATCAACGCGCAAAGAAAATAACACTTCGGAACGGGTGCAAAAAGCACGCAACTGGGAGCAACCGAAATAAGCCGGTGGCTCAAACCGCCAAGTGTACCAAAACTATCGCTCAAGGTACGTGTTGACCGCTTGACGTACTAACCGCGAGTCTCCTCTAAAACGCAACCACTCAAAGTACGTGTTGACCCCTCGACGTACTAAACGCGAGTCTTTTTAAAACGATCTCCTTCTTCAGAATTGAAATGAAAAAACCACACCCAAATTACCATAAAACAAAAATGGCTCCCGCTAGAACTTCTCCCATTGGTTCAGATAAATAAGACTTAACCCACTCTAACTTCGTCATTAACCTCAAAGAACTGCTGACCCAACTGATCTCACGGTTTTCTGCTGATGACGTGGAAAGGCCTTATCTGTTGACGGCTCGATGCTACATCCGCTCCTTTTCTCGGTCTAGACGGCGCCAAAGTTGATAAACAAACGACAAAAAAACTCGCATTACTCATGATGACGTCAATCAGCTTTGCATCTTCCCACGACGAAATTAAATCTGAGCGAAATTAAATCTATCGGACCATAGTCTTGAGCGAACCGAAATGCCCAAACACAAAATTTCTAACCGGAACAAATAATGAAATATACAGGGTGACCTGCACTACCATGACAAGAAATTTCGAATTTTTCAATGAAATTTGGCGCGAAATAAAACCACTCGTTACACTAAGAATAGGTGTACCAAATTTGGTTCCAATCGGTTCAGTCCTTTAGCTAGGAATCAGAGTACAGGTAGACAGGCATCATCGACATTTTGTTTAATTCGGATTCCTGGTGCTTCAAATGGTGTATTTCCGTCAAAAAAGTGGGGGGAGGGGTATTTTTACCCAACATTGACACGGTCCCATCGCGGAAGTCGCTCGCATCTTAATGACTCTGCAGGGCCGTAGTCAAGGGTACGCCAGGGCCTGCCCGAAAAATTGTAAGCTTGCCCTAGCCATATTTCGGAATTTACCATTGTAATTTACGAGTCAGCTAACAATATATAATAACACAGAAAATTATTATTACTATTAGGATGTTGCTGTTATCAATTCAAGGAACATATCTATGCGTATAACATGTTTTTTTAAACCTGCAACGCTACAATGCCTATAGGTATGGTATTACAATATATCATCTCAAAGGACCGAGGGCCTCTCGCGGGGTCGGTGGTTTATCACAAAGATTTGATGAAGCTTTGATTTTTAGCGCATTTTCCAACGAAGGCTAACTCATATTGTAAACATTAGATGTGCGCATGCGCATTCTGCGCAGTGCCAACTTCTAATTTATGAAAATATTTCTTTGAAATTTTAACCATAGATGCTTCTAGTAAAGAAAAACATATCACATGTAGTAAAAATCGAAAACTACAAAAGACATTAGCAAAGTCAAACACATCACACATAGTAAAAATCAAATACGCGCATGCGCTAACTGCAAAATGTCACCTTTTTTACTTATAAGAAATTTTAACCATAGACGCTTCTAGTAAAAACAAACATATCGCATACAGCATAAATTAAATGTGTAAATTCGTTCCAGAGTACATTTAATGTAGTAGCAGGTCATTTTGAAAAATGTATGGTTTCATTTTAGATAATATTACTGTAATTATTTTTTAAAAAAATTGACACGTGTGTTCACAAACCTAGTAAATTCTGATTTTTTTGTTAATTTAGGCAAGCCAAGTGGTTATTTGCAAAATAAAAATCCAACGTCAAGGACCATCATTTTTCTGGTGTTGATTTTGGTACCGGGCGATGAAAACGTGAAAGTTTTGACTACTTTCAAAATTGCTTGCAATGCGTCCTTTTAACAATCCCAATACTGTTATCAATTTTATGCTTATATCTCGGTTGAACTTGATAAAAGAAACTACACATGAGCATAGCTCCCCATGGTCACATATTGGAGCGTTTGAATTTGGTACAGTCACAGTGTCATATACAAAAGAATTACCTTATTACCAAGTATCCCTAATTAAAGTTCGTATTTGATATTTGTTTTTCGACATTGGATTTGTACGACTTTATTTTTAGGAACCCGCATGGAAAACTCACATTTGGAAGAAGGATAGGGAACCAAACAAAACCACGAAAACAAGAAGAAGGTTCCACTTCAAGCAAATCGCAAGGTTATTACTCATTCTCGATAGATCCGCACATTTTTCTTACGGTTTCATTTCAGAGCTGTGAAATTCACCTCAAAGCTGTTTGGGCGAGCTCTATCCCGTCGTATAAAGGCGACTGTCTTGTATGCAACGGAAACTGGGAAATCTGAGAGTTACGCGAAGAAGTTATGCGAACTCCTCGGTCACGCTTTTAATGCTCAAGTTTACTGTATGGCCGATTATGATATCTCCAGTATTGAACATGAAGCATTACTTTTGGTTGTTACTTCCACGTTCGGCAATGGCGACCCTCCAGAAAACGGCGAGGTACGTAAACTAAGCACATTATTAGATCATGAAAAAGAAAATTACATTAGCCCTCTGTTTTCATTTTCTTTAACTTCGGGAAAGTAATTATTTTTATACGGAATTATGCTCAGATCAGTTTATGATGCTGATAATGACACTATTTTTTATTAACAGGAATTTGCAAGAACTCTGTACGATATGAAGATGCACGAAAATAATATCTCTCATAGCGGAGAAAATAAATTAGGGTAGGTGTGGAAACTTGACTGCCATTTCCACTAATCGTAGCTTATTTTAGTTTGGCGTCATCAAAGTCTTTCATTAAAATGAACAGTCAGAGTGACAATATAAAGAAGTTACGGAGGTATGATTCATTGCGGGGAAGTTCAATTACTGATGTACTAGTTGAAGACAACTTTGGTCCGCTTAGTAATGTTAGGTATGTGCCATGGTGGCGTTTCTGGTCGTATCGTGTATATGGTTGCGTATTTTAGATTTGCCGTGTTCGCGCTTGGCTCTAGTGCATATCCAAAGTTTGCCGCTTTTGGGCAATACGTGGATAATCTTTTAGGCGAATTGGGTGGAGAAAGACTAATGAAAATGATGGCGGGTGATGAAATGTGCGGACAAGATCAGGCCTTCAAAAAGTGGGCGCCTCACGTATTTAAGGTAAAGACGGTGGTGAGTGTGCCTTCCAATATGAACAAGTGACTTTACAGCTGGCATGCGACACGTTTTGTCTGGACGATGACGAATCTATCCTAGAAGCTGCGTTAGCTTTGGAAACGGAAACGTTATCTAATGCCACAGTACGATTTGTGGAAGCAAAAGAACAATCCACCGAAGTGTCTCTATCAAAGTGTTACAACAAAACGGTACCAATTCAGTTTGATTTTCTCCCATCCGTCTACACTTCTTTATAGGTATCTGCAGGCGTGTTGGTCAACCGTACCAATCTACACGCAGAAATATCGACACGAGCCACACTTCTGTTAGAAATAGAATCCTCTCTAACTTACCACCCGGGTGATCACGTGGGAATCTATCCAACTAATCGAGGAGATTTAGTAGACAAAATTATTGAAAGGCTCATTGGAGTTGACGATCCCGATAAAGTGATCCAGCTGCAGACTTTGAAGGAATCTCACACTTCAAACGGTACGATTACATAATTAATCGCAAAACTTGAAACTATGGTTGTATTAGGGGTTGTAAAAACGTGGGTGCCACACGAACGGCTACCAAATTGTTCTGTGCGGCAATTATTCTCAAGATTCTTAGATATAACTACGCCGCCTTCCCCTAATTTATTACAACATTTTGCTTCAATTGCCACATCGGAGGACGACCAAGCGAAACTGACCGTATTGGCAACGGTGAGTTTGATATAATCATATTTCGGTCTGTAAGTCTTGTTTTAGAATCCTGCTGCTTACGAAGACTGGCGGCATTGGCGTTTTCCGCATTTATTAGAAGTTTTAGAGGAGTTTCCGTCGGTGAGACCTTACGCGCCCTTATTGGTTACCCAGCTTCCTATTTTACAACCTCGCTTTTACTCGATATCCTCCAGTCCAGCCGTCTATAATAATCAAATTCACGTGACGGTTGCTGTTGTAACTTACCGAACTGAAGGTGAGTTTCTTTTGGGGCCGTTAACTTGGTCCCCCCACTGAGAGATTTGATAGTCGTATTATTTTAAAATGAATGCGCTCGTTATGCGCTCATATGCGCCACCGATAATAACTCTTGCGCCATTATCGTTTTTTAGAAATCCGAAAAAACATTTGGGGGGGGGCCAAGTGAACGTAGCTCCCCCCAGTACGTATTTTGTCGCTTGTAACTAGGTCACCTGATACATTTGGTTATGCGCTCAATTGCGCCACTTGAATTAAAGCTAGCGCCATTACGGTTAAGGCATAAAAAGTTTTTTAAAAGTGGGGGGGGGGCTAACTTAACGTTTTCAAAAGTTACGTTTTTTAACATGTTTTTTCTACTATATCAACCTTTCATCATGCACTAAATGCACTAATATTTAAGGATAACCAAAAAACAAGAATGGCGCAAAGATATCTTTTTACGGCGCATTTCAGCGCATACCTGAGAGTACAATTTCGTATGAAAAGATGTTAAAAAAAAGTAACTTTTAAAAACGTTAAGTTGGCCCCCCCACCTTTTGAAAATTTGTCACGGCTTAACCGTAATGGCGCTAGCTTTAATTCAAGTGGCGCAATTGAGCGCATAACCAAATGTATCAGGTGACCTAGTTACAAGCGACAAAATACGTACTGGGGGGGCTACGTTCACTTGCCCCCCCCCCCAATGTTTTTTCGGATTTCTAAAAAACGATAATGGCGCAAGAGTTATTATCGGTGGCGCATATGAGCGCATAACGAGCGCATTCATTTTAACATAATATGACTATCAAATCTCTCAGTGGGGGGGCCAAGTTAACGGACCCGTTTCTTTTACGTACTCAGTAGCTTATGTCATTATTTCTCAGATGGCAAGGGTCCTGTTCACTACGGCGTGTGTTCTAATTATCTTCAAGATACATCGATCTCCGGTAAGGTGTACATCTTTGTGAGAAGGTAATAAATGCCGTGCCCACAATTATTCCTCACTCGAGTTTAATTTAGTGCTCCGAATTTCTATCTTCCAAAAGACATATCAATACCGGTAATACTAGTTGGACCTGGAACGGGCATAGCGCCCTTCAAAGGATTTTGGCAGCAAAGGCTGTCTGATATAGAAAAAACAAAAAAGCATGCTGGCAAAATGTGGTTATTCTTTGGATGTCGTCAGAGGGGGTTAGATTTATACCGCGAAGAAAAGGCGGATATGGTAAAGTGCGGTGTACTTGACAGAGTATTTTTGGCGTTATCTCGCGAGCCCAACGTTAAGAAGGTAGTTAAAAGAACTAATAAATGCCTAATAAATAATGAGTTTTCGTAGACTTATGTTCAAGATTTAGCCTTGGAGGTGGCCGATGAGATATATCAAATAATGGTAATTGAAAAAGGTCACTTCTATGTCTGTGGGGATTGTACAATGGCCGAACACGTCTATCAAACTTTAAAGACGATTATACAGCAGTATGGAGGAAAAACCGACAGCCAGGCTGAAGCTTATATGCTTACTCTTAGGGTAAATTTCTTCGTAACGTTTCAATACTTACAAAATAAATTGGCAGGACGAAAATCGGTATCACGAAGATATCTTTGGAATTACTCTGCGAACAGCTGAGGTCCAAAACAAATCCAGAGAATCCGCACGAATTCGTATGGCATCGGAACCTTAGCGTTTACCATTTGTCAGAAGATGTAAATCATTCGATAATCATAAGTGATAATATATTAAATTGTTTAGGAGTATTACCAAAATTGTGCGAAATCTGTGAGAAATACTTTACTCGCCTTAAGCAAAAATTTTGCAAATTTAATGTTTTCTTAATAATAAGTCATTATGCACAAACATATGTGAACATTTAAGCACTCCAGCATAATGGAAGTTACATTTTAATTCTATTCATAGTCTATAAATTTGATCCAATTAGATAGGTACAATAATAATTATATCAAATGTTGCCATTTAATGGATTTTATATTAAACGATCAATATGAAATAAATATCTCTGTGTTGTAAGTTTATTTCTCTTATTACGGAACACTATAGCAGTTCGCAAATGAAGCTAACCGGAAATAATAAACAGGTACGCGGCGACAATACCAAAGAGCTGAAAAACTTTACTCAAATCAAATATGCACATAAGCCAGACAAACCTGAAAAAATGTTGCTCCGTACGCAAATCCGCTCGAAGTTCTCATTTTGGATTGTAAGAATGTGAACAACGCTTTACCACATCCATTTTCATAATAGACCTTACACTCACCTGACACGTATTTTTGACAGCAACTTTTAGGGAGTTGGTCCCAATCACCTTTACCCTCCGCTCCACAACAGTGTAACTACGCTTTATGTATCAAAAATTGTTTACCAAACTCAAAACCGTACGTTCTCCTGAGTGTGGTCAATTGACCGCGTTACTGTATTCGATTTGCCATACAGTTTAATAGAGGAACGGAAGCCCTTATTCACTGCGTCTAGCCCATCATCCATCGATCTAAACTGTCTCATGGCCAGAATACCGATTGCAATTTGAAGACATAGAACAGTTATGCTTATTAGGACGAACTACAAACTGATTGGTAATTCTTAGATGAATGTTAAGCAATACTAACGGCGTTTAAAAGTATTGTCGAACCGGTAGTGATACCGCAGTGCCCTAATATTCCAAGTACAATCAAAACAGCTCCTAAACCGGCTAGTACCTTTGGAACCAGTGCAGCTACATCGGCACTTGCTGCAATTGTCGACGCGTAGGTACTCGACGAATGCAAAGTGTATGGTCCCATTATTAAAAATAAAACACCTATCAACTGTTTAACTGCGTGACCCATTGTAATTTTGTACTTTTATACTCACGATATAAATCTTTGTGGCTACACAAAACAGGCATCTTACAGGCACTAGGGCCGCTTTGAGGAGCAAGCACATTATAATTGTGGTATACTTTTAGTGACAAAAATATGACATTTGCAATTATTAAAATGAGATAGTTGGCCGAAGTTCTGTCGACGAAATAGATCAATCTGAACCTAGTCTAAGGAGCAAAGCGTACGTCGTAACAATTCCAAATGCCTAAAAGACCAGCAGGAATACTAATAACTTTACTTCATTACACACCTGGAACCCAGCTATCCCATAGACAACTTTCCAAATCAAACTCATGTTGCTTTGAATGTAGTCGTATATTTCTTTGCCACATCCCTTACTCCTATTGCTCTCACAGGTATTTGATTCAAATTTTTCGCAGCAGCTAGGAGGGGGAGAGGTCCAGTCACTTATACCCTTCACCCCGCAACAGTCAAACTGAAATTAAAATACCCAGATGAAAATAATGGCAAACTAGTAAAATGACTGACGCTCTTCTGTAAATAATCAATCGCACTTTGGACAGGAAATGGCGAATTGTAATACGCTTTAATATTAGACAGCAGCAGTTCCTCCAAGTGTCCAAGCCCCGCGTAGGTCGACCCGGAAAATTCCTTCAGGCCGTATGCTCCTATCACAACCTGTCCTATTAGCATGGCGCTACTTAAAAATAAGTACTAAAATATATCTCGTTAGGTTCTGGTGACGATATTAAACCAGGGGCTGTTACAGCTGACAAGCACATTGAGTTTCCTGTTACTACACCACAAGGACCGATTAAAGTCATTAGAATTAGAACTGCTCCTAATCCGATCAGTATTTTGGGAATATACACAACTATGTAGTAAGAATTTTTAATCTGGTCTATATAAGTGCCAACGCCAAATTCCATAAAAAGTCCAAGCGTAAGACATGCGATACCTGCAATCTAAAGAAGAATAACGTCGTTGGTCGCGTGTCAATTTGACACTCTTACGAAATTAACTAGATTACTTATACAAAAAAGTACCCTTATTGGAAAGATGGCAACATCAACCAGCATACACATGTCAAGCCCCACAGACTGAAATGTCAACGAAATTGACAAATTTGTTTTCGATTAATGCAATTTTTACGGTGCAATCATCAGTGGAGCAATTTTTTCAGGTTACAGAATGCTAAATAAAATCAGACTCGTTGCTACAATAATTAATTGTATTCCTTGACTGCATTTTATCTCAGCTGCAGCAAATGTATCAGTTTCTTCACCAAATTACAAAATAAGTAGTGCCTCAAATAGTAACGAAATTTAATTCATTTGGGGTCTTTTTTATCATCACTGTATATCTTATAGTTTAATTCAAGATAAGTTGTGGCCTAGATACTAATTATCGAAAAAGGCGCGTCTAAATACTTCATACAGTTAACAATTTCAAAACTAAAAACATTTTTGATCAGAATGAAATTCATAATAAAGATGCATTTTATAATGAGTCATGCAGAACTTACCTTGAATGAAAGGGGAGTGAACGATTTCATAAGTTTTTCATATTCGTACGTAAATTATAAATCAATTAAGAATTAAAATGTACAAGATAAGTTGTGGGCTAGATACCAATTACCGAAAAACTCGAGCCTTGCAATTGCTTCGTTTTCAGCTCCCCGGACCTTTCGTTTCCTCTCGATCCCCACTCACCTCAGCTGAACTGGTACATCTTTGTCCCTTTTTGCAAGTTCTCCTTTCATTGTTTCCCCTATTTCTCTCCTCCTTTCCGTTTCTTTCGTAATAGTTTTTCCTTTTGTGTTCATCCTCATCGCTAACCGTTTTTTAACCAATTCGCTTTCCATTTCTCTTCTTTTCTCGAATTTTACTACCCTGCATCCCGACTCTATCGTTATCTTTCCATTTTTATTTCCTCCTCTAATATACAGGGTCATTCTTGACGAGCGTCAGTTAGAAAGATATGGCAAATGATGAATTGAACTAAAATATTTTCAAGATGGTGCAACTTCCGCAAATAACGGAAGTAGCCATCAACTTTGTTATTTTAAATAGGGACTCTCTATTTTTTCTACATTTACCGATTCTACGTCGAATTTGGAGTACAACGATACTCTTTGCCCCAAGGGCTTCGTTGATATTCAAGTTTTATGTCAAAAATTGAATTTGCAGGGGTAATTTTAAACATTTATTATTCGAAAACGGTGAGAGATATTGCAAAACAGTTTTCACTGCTTTATTGAGGAAAGATCGAATTTTCTTATGGTATGCGTAACCGTCTAAAAAAATGAGACTACGTCACTTTTTCAAAACTCTCAACTTTTAAATTTTTAAATATCCGTAGCACCATTTTTTCAAATGGCACCCCCCATTTTTTTTCTTCGCTGTTGTTTTCCTTTTTCCGAGACCTTTAATTTAATACAAAATGTCAAAAGTTGCTTCAAACGGTTTCCGAGATATTCTATGTTTTAGTCACTTCTTGTAGCAGATTGATAAAAAAAATTAAGCCCTTCTCCTCGACCTCTTATCGTGATCGGGTATATTCCCTTATACCTCAAGAACGGATTGTCGGAAGAGGGTACTAACGAAGAGCGATTGAGACGTCTGCAAGAAATATATCCATTGGTAATGTCGAAACAAAAGCTATTTCTGTTTCTGTTCTCTGGATATCGATTCGCACTTATCGTTGGAGCATCTCCCAATGACAAAGAAGAAGCAATTACCAGTCTTAGATTGATATTTCTATCATCACATATAATTTTGTTGAAATATTGGAAATAATATGCTAATCCCTCGCCGGAAAAGAAGCCAATTTGTTGATGTCAATATAAGGAAACCGATTTTCATCCCTGAAGAGGATTCATCGACGGATTATTCTTGCCTCAACTTATTACCTACTTCTCTCACTCATTTATCGTATAGCTCAAATCACTGTTCGCCCCAGTGGGGATGCTCCGTATAGCGATCATCAAGAAGAATTTTTGAAATTTGTATCGGTAAAAGTAGAAGTGTATACGCAATACTTAGCTATAAATATAAATTCTTCGATTTCAAAACTTACGTAATTATATATTATCACAATATATTAAAAATACGAAAATAATGGCTGAAACTCGCCTGAAATTTATATCTTCGTTAAGAAAAGCGTGTAATTTTAATTTCCGCTTGAATATTTATGTTAATTAAATGTCGATAATAAAACGGCTTCATTTAAAAAACCAAAGGCAATGCTTTTTGGTTTATTATTCTGTTCTTAGTATGTGCCTCAGTGTCGGTTCCACTCAAAAATGTAAGTAAATGAGTATAGAGCTTTCATTACGAAGGTCACCGTCACCGTATATTTTCAATAAGCATGTAAATATGTAACTTCACCGTTAGGCTGAATATACAGGGCGTAAATTTTAACAGAACGTACAAATCTCCTACATTCAATTCTTAAATTTAATCAAAAAGATATGCAAACAATCGTACCTACTTTCATATTTTTCAAATGTTTTTCAATAAACTTAAATATCTGAATTATTTATTAAATTAAGATTATTAATTAATTATTAATACGATGTATATAACAGAAGAAAAAATAAGAATATTCACATGATTTATTTGCTTCTAAGTATCACGATAAACATTAAAAAATCTCATGTTATTGTTTGAATTGTTAATGAACGTTACACCAGAAAAAGAAGCTTGAAAAGTAACTACGAGAAGTGCAAACCGCATCACTCTTTTAGTTTTCAAAATATCCCTGAAAAACAACCAAAAACCATCAATTTGAACACCCTGTACAGTAATTGTTAAGCAACGTGTCCTACTGATTTACTGTTTACTGTAGAAATCATACCGCCGTGTGTAAGTGAGACGATACTGATTAAAATGGAAAAGAAGGCGCGTTCCATCCGATTATTGAATATTGCAAATGGTGACGAAACCCTCTACGATGAGTTACATGCGAGATCGGCTGTGCAGGTAAAAACAGTATATTATATTATAAGGCCCTAAAGTGGTACTCTTTCTATGGCCACCTAGTGTTTCAAGGAAATAAATTATGTGGTATTATGGAACTAATTTTCCTTTTTATTTGATTTTGCCATACTTACAATTCGTTTGCTTTTTCAAAAAAAAATTCATAATACGGAAATGCGTATTTTTTAACACTTTGCAACCGGTTGTCCTTTGATAATGTGAATGATGTTTTAATCTACGACCAATGGTATTTGAGCACTAAAGAATTTTTCCAGGTGTTTTTTTGTAAAATAGCATCTCTAATTTTTTATTTCAGAATAAAGTGTGTACTCCACTCGTATGTCTGTCAAGCGCGTTGAATAACAGCGGAAAAGGTGTGAACAAGGTACGACGTAATGATGATTTGTTACAACACGCTCAAGACTTTCTGGACCAATACTTTACTTCAACAAAAAAGTAAGCGAATACAAATTTGTAAATTGTTATAGCTTTTAAAGGTTTATGTAAGTACCTACAGACTTGTTCAGATCAAAATGAAACTGAACCCATCGAGAAATGGAAAATTGAAGAATCCCAGACTTATAGTTGGTGATTGTATTGATGTTCAGTGCAAAATCTCATCCCTGCGCGCGGTGGCCACAACACCCCAAATTTGAAACGACCTGATAGGCCAAATGACATATCCTTGGAAAGGTCTTCACCCTGTATATATTTTTACAGATTTTGCATAAAATTCTATAATTATGAGCTCTTGGATGTAAGATACACAAAGTACCTACCTATATTGGATTTCAAAAAAATGTTGTTGTTTATTCTGCTTACAATTGCAATTCCGATAAAAAATACTTCATCTTTAACTGATCTCAAAAATACATACCTATTACGTATAATACAATACTAAGGGCTCAACAAGTTTTCTTTATAGGATTGAAATATTGCGGCCTCCACGTTCAACTTATTAATTATATCAATCAAGGGACCAAGTACTCGTACCTACCTACTTTTTTAACGAGAAGTTGAATGATCCGTCAATTAATCAGTAAGACACAAACACAACTACTCCATCAGATGGCATTTATTTTACTATGGTATCAAATCGACCTTCCTTAATAGGTAAACCAATACCTACCTGTCTTCAAAAATTCGTTTTTTTTGTCCCATTTAGTCAATTCTATCAATTTATAAAGTAACTCTATGATCTGTACCTACTGGTATTAGGTATGTCTGTTTTTCTTTCCCATATTGTCGAAAAGGTAGGTTGAACGAGAAGGTTGGAATAATTAATTACATTTTTCTGTAATATGAAGCTCCAAAATGTAGTTTTAACACAATAATAAAGTAAGAAATAAGATTTATGGACATGTCTAAGAGTATAATTTATTATGACAATAGACGCCAGGTTTCAAAATGGTGGTTGGGTCTGAAAATATTGGATTTTTTCATGGGATTAGCATATGATATTTTTTCCAGAGCAAATACACCGGAACATCTTTCGCGAATTGACCAAGTAAAAAAAGAAATCGAGGCAACGGGAACCTATCAACTTACCGAAACGGAGCTCATTTACGGTGCAAAACTTGCATGGAGGAATTCAGTTAGGTGCATAGGGCGCATTCAATGGACCAGATTGCAGGTAGATGAAATTCTTTTCATGACATATACGATTTACACGTTACGAAATATTGGTGGCGTACATACCTAATGGCAAAGATTAAATTAATCTATGATAGTGGTTGTATGACATATGGACATAGTATACCTAGCAATCGTGTTGTGTGAACAAGGGATCAAACATTGCTTGTGTTAGGCGCTAGGGACCACACGACTTTCTTTAAATTAAAATATTACGGCAAGTGCATTTCCAAAGCGTTACAAATATCTTTTGTGCAACGAAAACAAGAAGATAGGTCTGAACTAGAAACGCCCAAGGTGTCAATAAAAACACAAGATACATACAAAACATTGCCTAGTGAAATGGATATTGCATTATCATTTTAGATGAGTTCGCAAGAACACTTGAGTCATTGAGTGTTTAGGTACCTATCTGTGCTATTACTTTCCTGCTAACGTTTAAGCATTACACGAGCAATTTTTTACTTTGAATGGGACCTGTTGAACTTCAACCATCTAATATTGGGAGGGGGGGGGGGGGTTAAATCACCTATAGCCAGTTATCTCCGTAACTGGAAGAACATTCTGTAGGGCACGCAGGCGGAGTCGCGACGCTAGTACCTATGTAAAAAAAAGCGATACATTATGGGTCCTTGACCATTTTTGAACGAATATTTATTTATGCGACGCGGAGCACGATATAAAACGACGTTCATAACAAACGAAACTCAGAAGCTTTACAATGGCTTCTACTATAAAATACAGTTTTGCATTATATACGACGATAAAGGGCAACTAACGATCTCGTGAAAATTAATTCACTAGTGGCTGCGTTACTCGTGAATTAACATCTTTCTCTCAATGGTTAAAAAATCCCTTTATCGTGTTATACCTATAAGTAATAAATACTTGTTAAAAATTTAAATCAACAATACTATAAACAAAGTAAACCAATAAGACTGAAATTTGTTAGAATAATTCGAAATAAGCAATTCATGTCATAAGATCTGATTCGTGTAGGGGCCTTAGAAGACGGATACTGCCCACATAGCCCTCCATCTTCTCTAAACCTACCTTGAAATGAGTACTTATTTCAGGTATTTGACTGCCGTTCTGTGACAACGACGAGTGGTATGTTCTACGCATTATGCGGCCATATCAAATATGCATCAAATAATGGTAAGATTAGGTAAGCTATATTACACCTTCCGCAGTTACGATAATCTAAGGTCAAAACCGTCCTCGGTCGGTGCAAAAGGTATGTAGACCCGAGTTTGAGGCTTAGTAACAAAATAACTGTTGTATAATTACTTGTAATGACCCCGGATATTAAATTAAAGTTTGTTTTTTACGTTGATTACGTGTAACAAAAAGTTTCTTATACCTAAGCGTGAAGATCAAATTTTTTTGGTGTAGTGGTTGATCCATGCTCCCTTATTTGGGATGTATTATATTTTTTTTGGGCTTTTCATGTTACAGTTAACTTTATCATAAAAAGAAAACCGACCAATAAAATAGCTTCAAATTTTACTATATATTGTCAATAAAACACACATTCAAAACTTTATTTCAAAAATTTCAATTTCTTGTCATTTCCTCTGAATATGGTCCCCATTTCATTAAGGTAAGATGTCGTGAAAATAGCATGTTTCGTTATTCCTCAACCAATACAGCCGAATGCAAAACTAACACGTATTTTTTACTTTCTCGTAAGGATTCGGCGGGCGGAAAATTTGGTGGAAAAATAAATTAAGTAGACGTTTCGGTGACCTCATTCATAGGATATTATAGTAAACAGTTGCACTAGCATGTCATAAACTGTCTTCGTCAAGTATGCATACGAGTAAATTAGCGTTGAGAATTGTCGCATAAATTTATACAATTACAAACAGACGTGTCCGATGAATAGATCGTAGTTAAAGCGGCACTTAAGATAATGGCCCGTATGAATAAAAATAAGCAAATGCTTATACTTGCAAAATTCAAAGTAAATACTCGTAACTGCCCCTTCATGCTGGTCTGTTTAGCAGCACTGCACTGCGTCCTGTCCTGCTGCTCAGAAGCGCTGCTAAGTCGCCCAGTGGGAAGGAGCACTTACGAGTATTTACTTTGAATTTTGCAAGTATAAGCATTTGCTTACTTTTATTCATACGGGCCAATGAAAAACTATGAAGCCAGATTGAATGCAGTTCAGAAAAATAAAACAGTTCATTGCCCCATTATTTCTATACAACAAAACGTAATCGTACGAGAAAGATTCAAGAAAACTTCAACTGTATTTCCTCCAATTTTGTCATTCCTATATAATTGTCCAGCTGTAAGGCGCGATCTTTTGAATGAAGACCCGAACCCTTTTTAGAAAATCCTTTAATTAAGGTAATGTAATCTTTTTGACTTCTATACACAAGTAATATTCATTCCTTTTCAAAATTGGATTAATTTGTTTGTTAAAACTACTTACTCAGTATATTCCTAAAGAAATCGATCGGTGTAAATTGATTGAGTGGAACGAATTTGTATCTTATAGTTAACAACTATTATTTGAACACATTTAAAGAAATTTTGATTGTTCTTTACAAAAAATCCAAATGCCTTTGGAACAATTCCAATTTGGCATGATCAATCCTATGCTACGTCCTGCCTCCTGCATTTACGAAAACGCGAATTAAACACTGTTTCAGGTCCGCTATTACCATCTTTCCCCAACGCACGGACGGAAAACACGATTACAGAATATGGAACACCCAATTAATTAGCTACGCTGGTTACAAGCAACAGAATGGGAAGATCATCGGTGATCCCATGCACGTAGAGTTTACCGAGCTCTGTACAAAATTGGGATGGCGCGGAAAAGGTACCCCGTTTGATATTCTCCCGCTGGTACTGTCGGCCAACGGTCACGATCCCGATTATTTCAATATTCCGAAGGAGATCATTTTAGAAGTGCCTTTAAAGCATCCTTCGTAAGTAGAACTTTACCAACCAGATTGGTTTAGTGGTACGGCCAAGAAGGTCACTGTTTGTAAAAAAAATCGTAGGTTTGATTGGTTCGAGCAGCTTGGGTTGAAATGGTACTCCCCGCCGGCGGTATCGAACATGATGTTTGACTGCGGTGGTCTACAATTTACTGCTGCTCCATTTAACGGATGGTACATGAGTGCCGAAATTGGGTGCCGAAATCTCTGTGACACATACCGTTTAAATATGCTTGAGGTAAGACATAAAGGGGACATTAAAATGGATGTTAGATAATTTGAAATGTGACAGACTGTAGCATTGGCGATGGGCTTAGACACCAACACTACCACCTCGTTATGGAAAGATAAAGCGATGGTGGAGTGCAACATAGCCGTTTTGTACAGCTTTCAGTTAAAGGGGGTCACGATTGTTGACCATCACGCGGCATCGGAGTCATTCATGAAGCATCTTGAAAATGAAACGCGTCTACGTCGGGGTTGTCCTGCGGATTGGGTTTGGATAGTACCACCGATGTCAGGTTCTGCTACTCCGGTGTTTCATCAAGAGATGGCTGTGTACCATCTAAAACCGAACTATACATATCAGGTTAACTATTTTTTCTTCATTTTTGTGTTCCTAACACGAATTGGCAAATTATAATTATGTAGATACGTTTCTGATCACTCTTACGTTGTAACGTACAAATAGATCATACGAGAATAGACCCTAACCAAATTTTAGCTCGGATCGGTATTACCCGATTAGTTACAAATGACTTGTTGCACGTTATAACTTCTCATTATCCTTTAATAGAAAATGGAAACAGCCTATACAGTGTGTTCTATTGAGTACAAACTGCACTAGGTCGATTTTTGTTCTTAATTTGACAATTGATAGTATCAATATATTACCCCTCCCTTCTAACGTCGCTTCTTAATAAATATACGAAATCGGCAAAGATCGTTCAAAGATGCGAAAGATGCAAAATGAAAAGATCCCTCCTTGATAATGCCCTCACCTAAAATTCGGAAATTTTGGGAAGGGAAACCTACATTTTCCAGTCACCACAACGAAGTCGTACAAACCGCTCCAAAATTGAAGCTTTATTGATATAACGTCTGGAGCCCGGCTCAAACATCTAGACAATTAAGCGCGCTTCAAATGACACTAAGCACATTTCAATCAGCCGCTATTTACTCCAACACGTCTAATTAGCTACCGGTAATTATACGTACCTAATTGACCGGGTTAAAGCTCCAAATCAACCTTAAAATTACGTAGGTACCAAGAGCAGCGAAAACCTTCGAAAAAACAGTTTTCTTGTAACGGCTGACCGCTTTGCAATTATTACAGTGTTTTTTCAGTTTTTATTTCATTCGATATAGAGAAATTTACACGTATACCGCTTCATAGTGAACGTGAGCGAACGTATGTCTCAAGATCAGAACGATAACGACGTATATTTCGAGAAACGTGTAAGATTTTTAAGTAGGCAGACGGTGGTTAGGCCGGATTGTGCGGAAACTTTAGCCAATCACTGTAATTCTATTTGCGAGAAAATTGTTGTAAATTCCTAGAAAAATTAAAAAGTCTAAAAAGTCTGGTTGATAGCAAGTGCAATTGCCCTTGATTTATAAATTTACGCGAGTGAACCATCGAAGAGAAACCATTGTTTGTGCATTGTTGATAAGAAATTAGGCAAATAAACTCATACGTGTCGACGGCAGGTTTTACGCATCTGGACAATCAACAGTAATCAATTTTTAAACGTATATTTAAAGTTATTACGTCATAAGGTTGTATAGTACGTATTACAGGTTAGTAAATTAAGCGCACGAGTGCGGAAATGCTTCGATCCCTCCATAGCAAATTACAAACGGATTACGTACCATACTTTTACTACGGCCACCGTGAATTTCAAAATGAAAATAAGGCAAAACGCAAAACGGCGTCAGTGCCAGTTGTGAGATTTGTAGATAATCATCACTTACAAAGGTACATGATCTATTCTAATTTTTTCATTGCGCAAGGGTGTAGATAATGGTTATTATATCATACCTATAAATCATACGTTATGACCCCCTTTTCAGGGAGGTCGTAGAAAAAAATTAAAGAAAATTAGTTAGTGCGTGTGCTAGAGCAAAACCTACTTGATAGAGGGGCAAAAGTTAATATTCTATACAGTGGAAAATTGGTCCTTTATTCCTGTGCATAATCACGACCTCGAACGTTATTTTCGATACTTTGAAGCCAGTTTGCTTATATTCGCAATTCATATGGATATTTTTTCCGCTAAATTCTTCCATTCAACAGGATGCTAATTTTACCATCACAAAGCGATCTGTTTCCATACTTCTAAGTTGAAACTGCATTTTTCAAGGAAAGATTAGATCAATCGTAACCTGTAAAAATGTCTTTCTCAACAACAACTGTAAAGTAATTTTAATATACCCAAAGGAAACGACCTAACAAAATCAATATTTTTATGACAAAAACGATCATAGTACTTAGTACTAGAACAGTGCATATAGAAAAATGTCCATGGTGGTTTTAGATTTAGGTACTATTTCATTGAGTCGAATATCTTGACTTATTAATTAAGTATTCAATATAAAAATGGTGTGGTTCGTATTTTACTTACGTTATTTTAGGAACCTGCATGGAAAACCCACATTTGGAAAAAAGGTGCAGCAGCAAACAATTCCACCAAACCGAAAAGGAAGTTCCGCTTCACACAAATCGCCAGGTGCGAATATCAATAATAAAAAACCTGCACATAAATTTTAAATTTCAGAGCGGCAAAATTTGCCTCCAAGCTATTTGAAAGAGCTTTATCACGTCGTATCAAGGCGACAGTCTTATACGCAACAGAGACCGGTAAGTCTGAAAATTACGCGAAGAAGTTATGCGAGCTGTTCAGTTACGCGTTTAACGCGCAAGTTTATTCTATGTCGGACTATGATATATCAAATATAGAACATGAATCGTTACTTTTGGTGGTTACTTCGACGTTCGGTAATGGTGAACCACCAGAAATCGGCGTGGTAAGTAAGGCAACGAACATTGTGTAACACTTTCATTTTGGCCCAACAGCAATTTGCAAGAGATCTGTACAACATGAAGGTGCGATATATTTCACAAATCCAAGAAAATAAGTATGGATAGAACTGCAAATTTCATTACCGCTGATTGTAATTTATTTTAGTTCGGCATCATCAATATCTGTCTTCAAAATGATTCAGTGTGACAATTTAAAAAAGCTACAGAGTAAAAACCTCTTTGGTCCGCTCAGCAATATGATGTATGGTGACCATAATTTTGTTGCTTGTCACATTCTGTACCAGTCCGACTTTTAGATTTGCCGTGTTTGCACTTGGATCCACTGCTTATCCAAAGTTTGCAGCCTTTGGAAAATCCGTTGATAGCCTCTTGGGAGAACTTGGCGGAGTAAGACTAATGGAAGTGGTGACGGGGGATGAATTGGCCGATCAAGACAACAGCTTTAAAAAGTGGGCGCCTGACGTATTTAAGGTGAGGTGTAAATGTCTATATTGAAACTGAATGTATGACATTGGGTTACAGCTGGCGTGCGACACATTTTGTCTAGACCAAGACGAATCTGTCCATGAAGCTACCTCACAGTTCAAACCAGAAACTTTATCAAATGCCACAGTACGATTTGTAGAGGCAAAAGAAGAATCGATAGAGGCGTCGCTAACAAATTACCACAATACACAGGTGCGCATCCGTTTTTAGGTACTTCATGCGTGGTCTGTTACTTTTGATGCAGGTTTCCGCCGGCGTGTTAGTCAACCGTACAAAGCTGTCCGGAGAGAAATCGACACAAGCTACATTTCTATTGGAAATAGAAACACCCCTAGCTTACCGAACGGGTGATCACGTGAGAGTTTATCCGATCAATAATCCAGATTTGGTAGACAAAATCATTCAACGGCTCACTGGCGTTGAAGACCCGGACAAAGTAACTCAGCTGCAGATTTTAAAAGAACTTCAGACTTCTAAAGGTATACTTAAGTTCATTATTATCATCTTTGAAACCGACGTTTATAGGGGATGTAAAATCTTGGGTCCCATACAAAAAGCTACCAAACTGTTCTTTGCGGCAATTACTATCCCGATTCTTAGATATAACTACGCCACCATCGTCTTTTCTGTTGCAATATTTTGCTTCGATTGCCACAGCGAAGATGGACCAGGAGAAGCTAGCCGTTTTGACCACAGTACGTTTGATAATCCTATCAATTGTGTAGGCAAGATCTGTTTCAGGATCCGGCATCTTATGAGAGCTGGAAAAATTGGCGCTTTCCACATTTATTAGAGGTTCTAGAAGAATTTCCTTCAGTGAGACCGTATGCTCCCCTACTGATTACTCGGCTCCATATTTTGCAACCACGCCTTTATTCAATATCTTCCAGTCCATCAGTCCATCCGAATCAAATTCACGCAACGGTTGCTGATGTGGTTTACCGAACAGAAGGCAAGTCTTCCTTTATGCGTTTAACAAGTAACGTATTTACTTTAAAGGTGGCAACGGCCCTGTACATTATGGGGTGTGTTCCAATTATTTTCAGAATTTGCAAATTTCCGAACAGTTACACATTTCTGTGAGAAGGTAATTAAGTACGTCTACAAATATTTATTCATTCGGATTGGTTTTAGTGCTCCGCATTTCTACCTTCCAGAAGATATATCGTTACCAGTAATACTAGTAGGACCAGGAACGGGTATAGCCCCATTTAGAGCATTTTGGCAGCAAAGATGGTCAGAAAGTAAAATCGCAGGGAAAGCGTGGTTATTCTTTGGATGCCGTTACAAAGAGTTAGATTTGTACCGTGATGACAAGGCTGAGATGGTAGAATTAGGTGTACTTCATAGAGTGTTCTTAGCATTATCACGTGAACCTTACACTAAAAAGGTAATATTTCAAAGCCACCGGGGCAAATAAATGAGACTTCTATGTGCAGACTTACGTTCAGGATTTAATGGTAGAAGTGGGCGATGAAATATACCGCATGTTAGTACTAGAAAAAGGCCACGTTTACGTTTGTGGGGATTCCGTAATGGCTGAAGGTGTTAATCAAACTCTAAAAACAATTATTCAGCGCCATGGAGGGCAAATCGATGCTGATGCTTATATGCTTACTCTCAAGGTAAATTCCTCCAAAAGGAACATTTCGGCTCATAAATTATGTCGGCAGGATCAAAATCGGTATCATGAAGATGTCTTTGGGATTACTTTACGAACGGCCGAGAAACTAAACAAATTCGGAAAATCTGCATGAATTCGGCTGCCATCGCGCTAGCATTTTCTAATTGTCAGAATCTATTCTGAAAGTAGGTACTTATTATTATTAACCAAAATCTGTGAAAAGCCAAAATGTTTCATATAATCATCTTTCTTTGCAAAAAGTTGCTATTCACAACACTATTATAATATTTAGACGCAATAAATATACATAACTCAATACGGTAACAGAGAAATTTGTTATTTTGGCCCGATTCTGTAACGGTAGCTGTAGATTTGGGTGTATTTTTTCCATTCTTTTAGCAGAAATAAACAAACTTGGATTTTAGTCATTTTTACCCATTGAAATGTACAGGTTATTTGGAGAATCGAAGTTATTTTCCAGGCGTATAGTGGTCTTGTTAGAGTTTGAAAGAGTAGGTAGGTCGACTGCAGTGCAACGGACGTTTATGTATTTCTGTGTGTTTGTTTTCTATACTTTTCTTAATTACTTTAGGAAGCCGGTAGAGACATAATGTCCGGAATTTCTTCTTTTCAATTGTACCATTGAATTACAATGCGAACTCTGCACGGAAACCGCAAAATCTGCAGATGTGGGAAATATGTGAGAGATTATTTATGACCCTAACTCTTATTTGATTGGTAAGGTGTGATGTAAGTAGTAAATTAATGATTGGATGGCCGTCTTAGTTGATAGGCGTTGAGATAATTTTGCTACTACAAAGAGCCATTGTTGAAACTGCTGTGCAAACGTTTATTGCCGTGAACCTTCAGAAGGGCTTGAACTCAGTCAATTTGTCGTTAACAAACATTTTAATTTCCGCATCAAAACAAATCACTACGGCAAGTGCAAATTATTACTTGGCGAAGCTCTCTCCTACTCGCAATAACATAACAACGTGTGTCCAAGTGTTGGTCTAAATACTTAACCCTAAAGGTTGTATTAATTGAAATTGTGGTTTGCTTGCTACTTCTGCAATACAAGGATATACCAGAAAAACAACTACAACTACAAAAAAATGAGAGATATTGTTCTGTATGTGAACAAATACCATTAGGATATCCATTCAAAACATGAACAGATGGAGCGATTGTTGTACAGAAACCATGTTAGCTGTTAATTTTGGCAAAAAGTTTCAGTTTGTGATACCAGCATGAGATTTTTTTCTCGTTCCGTCATGCAGGTACCTTTAAATTGACACCGAGATATACACCCAGAAGTGATTACGTCACCCGTGACGACGGCATAATTCTGAAACTGTTGCCGTCATTTTTGTGATCTCAGGAACGGCTGCTCGGATTCCCATGCTCTGTTCGTTATGTCGGCAATTAAATCATCTCAATAAAATTATGGAAGCTTTTGTCGAAAAGTGTATGGTTTATGACATATCGGTTTTCTAACGGAAATCTGTGCATACGTGCTCCATTTGTTGCTGTTTTTATTTTTCCGCACCGCGCCGTACTATACTGAAATGTCGGTTCTGAAAAAATAGTGAGTCAGTAGCTAAAAATAAGCGTTAAAAGGAATCCACGCAGTTCAAATGCTGGTATCCGTAATGTCTTTGCGGCTGTATATTAGAAGCATACAACAAGCACATTTCCCCACCTTTCTGAGCACATTGCGGGCAATGTGTCCTTCGATGTTCTCATTGAAGCTTACGAGGCATCATGACACAGACAGATTGATGCTGTTAGTGAAAATGTGACTTTCCAACACTATAAATAGTGCAGTTGTGTTTGAGGCGTATATTAAAATTAGGATGAATTCGGCAGTAATCAGAGTAGATGTCGTTGTCGATCAACATAGTAGCCTGAACGCTCACACGAGAGTCCAGACGTACAGGAAAAAAAGAGTCGCAGTTGAGGATAGAGTGACGATCCCAAAACCCTCCAATCTTTCCTGAAAGAAGACAGGAACAAAGACCTAGCTACCCTTTCACCTGTATCTCACGAGGAAGCAGATTCTCAGGTTGTACTACACACGCGGAATGCTGCTGAGTAGGTCATGAATTTTGATTAAAACAGTAGTTTCGAAGATATTCCAGAAAAACCGAAATTTGCCGATTTGGTTTTTATTTTTTTCGGTTGTTATTTGAACAGATACAACGAAAATAGAAAACACTTTCTCATTGCCACTTTTTGAGCTCTACAAGACACCCTTGGGAGACTTTCAATACAACGTTTCGTTCCGGATAAATCATCAATAACTTCATTTTTTTATATGCCCCGTAAAAAAAATACATACTGTACTGAGTAGCATTTCTTATTCGTATTACGAATCCGTCGATATATGTCACACACAAAAAAAAAACAAAAGTTTGAAACTGTTGGTTTCAAGAAGATGGTGCAGCCACACTCTAATCGTGCCAGAACACCTAGTATCGGTTCACTTTTCCAGACACTTTGTCCGATATGTATTCTCGCACGATTAGGCGTTGTGAGCGGTAGCACCATCCTGTTGAAACTAACAGTTTCTTTTGTTTTTTTGTGTGTGCGAGTGCGAACTTGTGAAGTATATCGTTGCATTCGGAATAAAAAATGTTGTATTGAAAATCTCTCAACGGTGTCTCTTAGAGCTCAAAAAGTGATAATAATAAAGTGGTTTCTATTTTTTTCTATCAGTCCAAATAACATCGGAAAAAAACAAAAAGGCAAGTTTCGGTTTTTCTGGCATATCTTCGGAAGTAATCGGAATTTTCTGGTTGTCTTTAAAGCGTGAAAATAACTGTTTAATTGAAAAACTTTTCCCTAACTTGTCTATCGTCGTATCTTTTATGGTTTCGGAGATCTCCATGATACACACCCTTACCCTGGATACAATCCATCAACACACCTGCTTCGCTATTCTGTAACGTGTATCGCTTTGGTTACAAGAAATAATTTTAGGTGCAGGTCTTCTAAAATTCGACAGATGTAATTTCTCTATTTTGGCTTTAAGTAAGCTTAATTTTTATCAAATCAAACAAACTTGACAACCAGTAATCCCCAAAATGTATAAAAAAAGCATAGTTCCCTCGGTGAACGTATTACAATCCTCTCCCTTTTATTCCTTAATAGACAATAGTTAGTACTGGAGTCTTTAAAGTAATTGAATTTTAAGATAATGCAAAACAATACAATTTTTATTTAGTATGCCTATCTTCTTGGTACAAACCATAGCTAGTACCTATAGGTACTTTAAAACAAAGTTAGTAACGACGTTCTAGTCTATCCCGTAATTAGCAGAAGAAGGGTCAGAGCAAGAGTAGATGCCTAAAAGCTGCGCTTGCGCTTTTGTACTTTAATTATTTAACAAACCTGAAACCCGAGGATTATATCTGCAATTTCTGGCAGCCATCTTGTTTTTTTCTCAATGAAGTTGTGCAAGAATTCTGTGCATCCTGGTTCGTAATGATCAACGCAAAAGCCAAGTGTTAATGATTCACAACAGCTTTGAGGTCGCGGAATCTGTATATCGATCCAATCGCCAGCGCCTGTGACCCCACAACATTTACCCTAGATTATGGAAGAGTTAATGAGCCCGCATGAAACACTCTTACCTGCACGTGTAGATAATCAAAAGCGTTTTGCAATAAAACGGATTTTGTATATAATTGTAAGCATGTTCGTAGCGCATCCTCCACCTTATTATATAGCTCATTGCTGTGGGGAATATGTTCCATCACCTTGTGTTCTAAAAAGTGCTGTACCGCTATACCTCCAGCAACAAGGAACATAAACTGGAACCGTCTAAATAATTATTTTCCAATCATATCGTAACATTGCGTACAAGGATTAAACATATTGTGCTACCACTAGTAGCACCACATTGACCTACAAATCCTATTCCAAGAAGTATGGCACCTACACCGATTAAATATTTTGACATCACCAATAAACTTGGATAACTCTCCTTGAATAGATTTATGTAAGTTTCAAACGTATAATCTAGCACTGGACCAAGTATGATACATCCAACTCCTGCAAACTGCGCCAGATTTCAAATGAGTATTAGCAACACAGGGCTTTTCTTACACAATATAGCTTGGACATGAGGCAAACTAGTATTTTTAATGGGGCTAGTGCTATATCTAACAGAAAGCACATTGAGGTTAGTATAAGAATTTAGCAGTCATCATTTTGACAGCTGATGTCGTCTGTGACAGCTATAAGATCGTTTTTATATAAGCCACCTTAGATTTTGCCGTTAACTTAGGGGTTGGCCCATTTCCCTACAAATCTTCTTGTAGTTTTGGATCAGTTAGTATCATCTCGTTCTGTCTTTTCCTGAACTAAAAGTGACTGAGGCGTCACCCACCACTCGTAATGTTGTGGTGGAGCTTTCCTCTTTTAATGGTGGGGAATATAGTATTTTGCAGGTCTCTCCCTTGCGTTTTGAGGTACCATATGTCTAGCTCGAGTAGCCCTTGATACTCTCACAAGAGAACGTTGAACCTGGATACCTTCTGTAGAAGGCTAGCGGTTGCTTCTCCTTTCCGCGGCAGGTTGGTTTACGGTATATGTAGGTGTTTTCTATATTCCGTGTTGTTGTATCTTGATACCTTTCTTCGCATTGGTCATCTTCCTGCGATAGGGCTGCGTCTTGGGTTTGGACTTCAATTTCCCAGAATGTTGTCAGCGCGGACTCGTCCATGATGGACAAGAGGTTTTGCATGGGCACTCCGTGTATTCTTCTTCTTTGCTCGTAGATTTGGTGAACGGCGTCCTTTGCAGATTCGTAATGGACCTCTAAAATATCAGGGGATAATGGTCTTTATTCATCAAAATTAATTTAAATAAATGTAATGATAATATTTCAAGTATGATTACTCCACTTTCGCTTGGGTTAAGTGCAGTGGAAGTTCTAGGCATGTCATTTGAATTTACATATACTAACCTTTTTCTTGACATGCAGGATGCCTATTTTTGGATCAATTGATTCGCCGATACATCGTTCTGCTACTGTAGAACATTTCCACGTTCCGTGACTTTTAATAGTTCAAAATCCGATACCTTCAGTCACATTGGGTTTAGACAACAACCCTAGTTAGTTTTGAAAACAACCACGATAACCTTCGGTGACATTAGTTGAACAAAGAACCGTAGTTAGTTTTGACAACAACCATGATGACCTTCGGTGATTTTCAATTTGTGTGGTGCAAAAAGGTCAAATGATGTCAAAGTGCGTTCATATCGGTGTTGTTTACCTACTAACCCTTAACAATTCGGCTTGAAATAAAAGAAGTCATTTGTAAAAGATACAAAGACTTTAGAAAAACCTTAAAATAATATTTAAAATTATATATAGTTACTCATTTTTAGTTGTTGTGATACCAAGATTTCTAACTGATTCATTCCTTCACAAAGAAACGTCTAATAAAGAGTACCTACTCATACTGTATTCGATGCATTGTTTATGTGAATACGTAACTACCTTGCGTTTAGAAATATTCATACCTAGCTCGTTCGCCTCACGCCAACTATACAAGTGGATAATTAAAATGAAAACAATATTGTGGTTTAAATTATCTTTATTAATTATGATACCTATGCTACCAGCAATAGCTTCCAATGCTATTTCAGCAACAATTCTTGCCAACATCTTTGACTTTTCTTCATAACATTGTAGCGAATATTCCAGAAACCCCAGGTTTTCTAGCATGTTCCAGAACACTCGGGAAATCTCGCGAACACTCGAGCTTGCTATATAAGCAAATCGAATTTCAGGATAGTTCCAATTTCGACGCCGAAGTAATACATAGTTCGCGCTGTTATAAATTGTGTATATGTGAGTGATAAATAATACTTTAACTGTTATAAGTCAATTTATTTCAAGACTATTATAAAAATGAATTGAGTGAGTCAGTCCCCATTTTTCGCGGTTAAAAGCATTTTCGAAGACAAAAATGGTCTCTGTGATGAAATGATATTTGGGTTGACTATGACAAAAGTTATCATTGAACTTTTACAGCAAATTTAGCTAAAATTGTTTCACCTTTGTAGATGTTTGTGCTGTTGACTGCCACCTTTTTAAATGTACCGATGTTGTGGTCATATTAACAATTATCGCAAAATTTCTTTATTAAAACAAGCAGTAACTCATCCCGCACCAAGTATAATTAAAAGGAAATATGCGACAACCAGTCCGGCCACCTACAAAACCTTTACGCATTTATCGTTTATTAATATCGCCTCTACTTACCTGAAAACCTAGAACTGCATACGCTATTGTCGGAACCATTGCCAATTTCCCCGAAACCAAATCGAATATATATTCGCTACAACCGAAGCCGTAACTAACTAGACATCCCCTGCACGTGCAACTATCAGGGGTACTACCAATCCCTCCCCAATCGAATCTGTCTATTGATCCACAGCATTCAAACTGAACAGGTTTGTTTAGTGAAAAGTCATTTCCCGAGTTTGATAAAGTAACGAGAAATGCGCGAATATAAGCAGACTAATGGCTTTGCTCCAAGGAAGCATAATTTACCTATGCATAATGTTGCTTAGCTAAGCGTTGGTACGCCATCTTACGAAACAGCATATGATGTTCGAATAATTTTCGCTCATGGTTTTCACTCATTTCTCTGTCACTTTTCAATCACATTCCTATGCTTACTTCACTTTGCACAAAGTCAATTGCTAGTTTTATTTCAGGATCAGTATAATAACTTTGAATCAACTCCTTGAATTTATTCTGAATGTCTTTCAAAATAGCACCTGAATTTTTGGGTAGTTTCATTAACACATATGTTGCGACTATGATTTCCAAAACTATAAGCCCGACACAAAGAAACATATACTACGACGTGCAATTACAGTATGATTAGATCAGGTGTATAAATACGACTTACAGAAGCCAAACACCTGGTGCTTCCACTAGAAGCACCGTAGTGTCCCAAAAGACCAATAACAATTAGGGCAACGCCAAAGCCGATCAATGCCGGAGGTCCCACCTTTACTACATCAAAATAATTTCTAAGCGCCAAGATGTACGTTCCAACCTTTGTGTTACTGAGCACCGGGACCATTATTACAATCATGACCCCTGAAAACTGCTTCTTGATATTAAACTTACTGTTTATGGAGGATCGCGTACAATATACAATTTTGTATTCACGCAAAAAATTACTCGTATGGGAGAAGCCAAGGCATCTAAAATAATGCACATCGCTCTTGGTATACCTATAGTAGATAACCTGACACCAGGTTTTAACCTTACACTCAATGACAGAATCGGAAATTATGACAACGGTATAAAAAAAAGTTGAAAATATAGTATTTTAAACATACTTGCACATCATTTTGAAGATGGCCTCCAGGCACGTCTGATGCATCTGACTCCAAAGAAAAACTATAAATGCATGGAAATTTACAGAGATTCCATTAAGATTCCCTAATGACAAAGAAAATAAGGTTTTTACAGAACTACACAGCACCTGACAAAGATGCGAAGGGAATTAGTTCAGTCATTGATTGATGTACCTATCTAATTAAAGACACTACTTTAACTCCACTAACCAATGAAGTTAAGAAGAATATTGAAGTATATCAGAATGTCAACCACAACTTCATCTTCAGCAACAATTGGAGAAATTGGAACAGGAGAATATTTTAGTGAAGTTGTCTGCTGCTGAAGATTAGAGAAAGAAGTTCTGTCAAAAGGGTGTGGAATGAATTGGAAGCCCAAGTGGGGCGGCTAAATTGAGAAATCACGAAATGTTCCAATATAACCATCCTAATATACCATTCGCGCGAATTTTATCTAATTTCTTTTGGTGCATTTGACGAGCCGATTCATATACAACACAAGCATACTCAATTACAGACAACACAAAGGACTTGTAAAAGCAGAGGAGACTTTCCCTATCTGGTCCCCAACTAAAGTTTGATAACAGCGCAAAATATTGACCCGTTTTTTACATTTTGCTACTAGCATTTCAATATCTTCTCTAAAATACAATTTATTATCAAATCTTGATATTTAGTCGATACTGCATATTTTCCCCTTTCATTAACAATGAGGGGTAAGTATTCATGTCTAAGGCGACAAAAGTGGGTCGCATTCGTTTTCTCAAGAGAAATGAAATCCAATATTTTCCGCTGCAGTTTCTAGGAGTTTCTTGATACCATTCTGTAGAGCATAATGAATGTTGTCAAGATCTAGTGATCAATCTTTTGTCGTTTGCAACATCTTCCTTGCAGCAATTTTGGTATAGGATAATCCTTGTACTAGTGTTTCGACACTATTTGTAACCTTCTTTTTGGCATCAGTATAACTCAGGCAACTTCGTTAAATCTATTGCATTCTCTGTGCCGCGTACAAAGGCGCCGACTTAGGGGTGGCCGAGCACTTTCAGCCCCTCCAATATTTATACTGGAGGGGCTCAGCTCCCCTAATTCTGAATAAGTGACAATTATATACCGTATTCGTATTCGTGGTTACTTACACCAAATCTTGAAACTGCATAATCAGCTTTAGACTCAACAATAAACCTTTATACCTCTACCTCAATGCAAAAATGCAATAACAAACCGTCCCAAGTAAGCAGGAAACCGTTGACACTTCTAAGAAGCAATAATCTGACTCCTGATGTGACGTCATAGTTTTTCTTTCTGAGAAAGGATAAAGATAGGTACCTGCACCTTACACCTACTACGATAAGTGCATTATTTAAAAATGCAAAAATTCGTACTTGCTGGTTTTAGTTAAAAGTCGACGGTTGTCGGTTAGGGTTATGGTGATGTTTTAATAATTTTCTATTGTTATCGTTACGTATTACGTTTTAGTTCCTAAATTACTTATACCCGTAACCAGGGCCGGTGAAAGTGAAAGGCTATTTGGCGCCCTAGGCGAGATGTTCTCAGCGCGCCCTTCCGGAGGTTATTCCTATGGTACCAGTACCAGCCAAAAAATAGAAGTGGCGTTCATAAATACTTTATTGTGTTTTCTTCAAATACATAATAACATAACGACATAACGTGTAGGCGGTGTAGGTATACAAAAACGCATATCCAAAGATATTAGGGTAGGGATATACACATAAAAAATCAAAAATTCATCTTTGCCTTATTTCTCGCGGACTGCTGGACTAGCTGTTCTAAATTTACATTCCATGCCTCCTTCGATTCAATTGAGATCATTGCCAAGTCCACGAGCCTATTCTGAGACATTGTTGACCGCAAAAATGTCTTTATCAGCTTTAGCTTGGAGAAACTGCGTTCTCTGCTCGCCACCGACACTGGAAGCGTCATTAAAATTCGAAGGGCAATGGATACATACGTGCGCATAGGCCGCCCTCGCTTGACTTGAGAGAGGTGTGCGATCGCGGCACCGGCAGTACCGGGAAGTTTTTTGGAGCCGCCGATGCGCTTTCGCTGAAAGATGTTGCTTAATTTTGGCGCCCTCTGAAGCTTGGCGCCCCAGGCAGCCGCCTATGTTCGCCTTGTGGTTTAACCGGCCCTGCCCGTAACCCGATACCCTATGCAGGTACGTAAAAATAAAAATTTTGTCAAGTCGGCGCCTATGGCCGCGTATTATGATTTTCAATACAATTGACACGCTTAATAATCGTACAAGACGTGCCTCCATGCAAAGGCTTACCACAAACACACATTTCCTCTGAATCGCGATAAGTATCTGGATGCCTCTCCCAGAATCGTCGGGAAAGGTTAGTGACTCCTGGTTTCCAGAGTGGGATTGTGAGATCTCGTCTCTACCCACCTGGGTTATGTTTTTCCGTAGATTCAAAGACATTGCCATTAGTACCCCTTTGTCGCAGGGGCCTTTTTGGGTAAGGTAAATTATAGAAATCTCCCTTTACGTAAGTACTTTCGGCTCACTAAAGCAGAGCCATTCAGCCCTCGACACAATCCACCTTGGGATTCCGGGATAAGTAGACAGCATAAATAAGGATATGGTTGTAGGATGGATTCTTTTGGAATTGGAATGTATGTCGCCTTTTACGACCTCCAGGGTGGTAGTGGGCCAATTCTTCCCCCGAACCCACAGGGGGATACTGCAAAGTATTCCAATTACATGGCACTACGATGCTGCTGTACTTAAGCTAGAACTACATAGAAATTACGATCTAATCTGATTAATTCATTCATTCAAAGGGCCGTGAAAATATATCGATGTCTCTCTGACGGCACGGCTTATTCAAATCCAACAGGGTCCTCGATACTGGCGATGACGGGGTGTTTACTACAAAGATGGTACCTATCGATTTTCCTCACCCTATTTAAAAATTTTAGTTGCTTGGAGTAAGAGATTAAATGTGGAAAATATTGAGTCGACCTAAAATACACTATTCGTACTAGGAGGGTTTGACGGCTAAGGTCATATCCCCCCTCACAGTTATCTAATCACACGTCTAAATTCCCTCATACACATCAATATATGTCAACACTTTAATGATATTGAGGCTTCGCATGGTTTTATTTTTAAGTGTATCTATATATGCCTTTGCAAATTCACGGTGTTATCAAACGTAATCCCCAAGAACTTTGCAGTACTCGAGCATCTTATTGGATCACCTTCCAAGAATAATCCGGGTGATAAAGCGAATTTCGAATTCGAAGTCTGCAAAAATGCACACACTGAGTCTTCTCTCTGGAAAAACTTAGGCGCAGGTTGGAGTTTACGATTTATTTTCCCAATAGTCTTTCCAGAGTAGAATATGGCAATGTCATCAACGTAGATGTATACACATGGATATATCATTGACAACATTCATTGCAATATCATTGTTAGCAATAGCAAATAACGTGCAACTTAAGGTAGATCCTTGAAGAACTCGGTTTTTTACAATATTTGTCAGAGAATTTGTCACCTATTCTCACCTAAAATCGACTGTTAATTAGAAATGACTTTACAAGTACCTAATAGTAAATTACCTTTCATTTATGTATTTATTTATTGTCCCTCTATTGCTCTGAGCCCTCAACATCAGGCTTTCATGTTTGAATGGAAAAACTATTCCAGAATACGGTATCTCCAAAGCTCGCTCCTAACCATGTCATAAACCCCTTTAATATCAAAAAAGACAGCCATCAAGATAAGTGCCTTCATCCATCCCATAGCTTATTATATAGCTGCAACAATATCATTTCCGGTTTGAGATTTAGTAGCGTGTCATGTCCCTTTGCTGTTTTTTGGTATGTTTTAGCGACAACTGCGAAAGCGGTTGGAAAATACTAGCAGAAAAGGAGTATACAAACAGGCACAATCTTGTAGCAGGCACTATACAGAAACACAACACCAATATTGACACATAAGCCTATACTATACAGATACACACCGATAACAGCCACAGAAAACCAAGACATACAAATATTTTGGGATCGAACCATACACACTCACAAAACAATTACACACAACCGCCCAGACATCACAGATAAACTGAAGGTCGGTCGTGCTCAAATTTTGAATCTCCAACAGAAGAAGATCGCTTTACATCGACGCTGAAACAGCTATTTGCGGTTTGAACAATTTCCGTCAACAAGAAGGAGACGAAGAAGAAAAGAATATGGAGAAAGAAAAGATGAATAATAACGTTTATTGTGTTAATGCACAAACATTATAGTTAGCAGCCAAACAAGTATTTATTTTCTATAAATTCTAAAAGTCATTATCAATGAATTCGCCAATAGGTTATAGGTATGTAGTAGAATCATTTACTAATAACTTACGTTTTCAAGAGTTGCTTCATATTGTAATGTTCGTATTTGATGGGGAATTACATTAAAACATTTTGTACAATAGTAATTACATCCAGAGATAACGTTCTGTTTAGTCTAATCGGGTGAAGGCATATATGCATATATCCTCTCTATTACGTGTATAGTGGTTGTACAGATTGTGTGTATTAAATGAATTTAGAGTTCTTTTAATATACAACACACATTCAAGTATGTATAGAGAAGGAAGGGTAAGTAGGTACATTGAGTGAAATAAATAACTTTTACATTTCTCCCTGCGACCAATCCCTGCAACTACTCTCACTCTCCTTTGTAGTTTGAAGATTCTGGTAGTTATACTAGAATGTCCCCAACCAAACAAGAATTCCATATTATGTAATATGGGGTTGTATTAGCGTTAAGGTAACTCTGAGAACGTGTTTTGTTAATTTGTTTGACAATTGCCGTATCAAGGGAAGTACTCACTGCATCAATGGTTGATTTTTTTCCTAAAACCGAATACTACTACTCCAAGAACAGATAGTTTTCTTCAAAGTATGCACTAATTTGGTTTGAGAGAATTTTGTCATAGATTTTTGCCACTGCAGGAACGATAGAAATAGGTCGATAATTATTTTCATCGGTTAGATCTCCCTCTTTCAATATGGGCACTACTGACGCAATTTTCAATGATCTCGGGAATATCTATAGTTTTGTAATGCCCCGTTTAGATTAGGATAGGTAGGTAAATTGATTAAGCGTAATTTAGGCGTAGATCGATAGGACTTTTTATTTGTAAATATAGTTTCGGTACCTTATAATATCGGGTGGTCACTTCTTCCCACGAGGCTGCAGGTGGTAGCGGTAGCCTGGAAGGGTGAATCGTGATTTTTTCTAACTCGCGGAAGTAATTCGATATGTCCACACACGCACACATCGATATGAAACTGAAACGTTTTCTGGGGTAAAATTCCGGCATAATGCAGATAATGGCATTCTGTCAGTGTGGGTTAAATTTCACTAAAATATGGCAATAGGTAGTTCAGATGCCGCTAAAGAGTAACCCCTGACACGGTAAACCTAAATTTTGGATTAGAGACGAATCATTAGAAGTAGGTGGTGGGCCATGTGTGATGTTTGGTAGTAACGGTCGCAGATAATTTTGAATTAGGCAATAGTGACGACTGACGAGTTCCGCTCCGAGAATTGTAATCTCATTGGGCATTTTGTATATACGGTTTAAAATTTGTGTTCATGGGGACAAAGTCGTGGGGGGTTAATTTGAAAAGTGGATAAGGAAGAATCGCGACGGCGGTGAAGGAGTTCGGCACGCGGAAGAGATATCTTCTGGTGGTGTAGCGGCCAGTTAAGGAGTGTCAATATTGAAACATTTTGCCGAAAAAAAAGGGTCTCTTTACCACTCATACAACGAGGGGGTGTCCTAGCTGGTTGGAGTTGTCAACCCGAGCTACTTTTGGATCCTCTACGTACCAGGTATTTTCATCAGCATGTACATCTATAGATTTGAGCGCGAGTTCAATTAGAAAATTCTTCATGATAGTTAAATATTTAATCGGTCGAAAGAGCTAGAACTGTTTCGGTTTGTATTTCCTTTAGGTATTCGAAGGGACTCATGAGAATAGGGATTAATAACGAATGTTAAGATTGTATATAGTAACGTTAGATTGTGTTTCCTTTTGTGGATACAATAGATAAGTAATTAACCAAATTCATAGGTCCTTCTTAATTATAGTTATAGCCACTTAAGGTATAATTAGGGTTAGGTAAAATAGGGCACTGTTATTGTTAGTTCAACGGGTAATAAAACCAGGAAAACACGTGATCACGGTTGTTTTAGTTAATTTGCAAACTCGTGTTAGTGAATAACGCTTGGATCTGAATAGTTTTAAAAGGAGCAATTGTAATTCGGAAAGACCACGACGCAAATTTGATGTTTCTTTCGACTGTCAATATAGGTATTCAAAGTTATCCGATAACTGGGTATTTATTTAGACAAGCCACCACGCGTCCCCAAAATCGGGGTGGAACCACGTAACAGATTACGAGAGAAGGAGAAGGTTGTTAGGGCGGTACGTAAGAATTGACCTAAAGGGCTAGCCGGGAGTATTCCCACCAAATAATAATAACAAGAGGGCACTTCAGAGCAAAATTCTATCCTAAATGTAAATCCTAATTGTAAATGAGACAGAAACCGGCACATCAATGGCCGCCATTAACTTGATGGAGTTAACATTTGTGTTAGGTAGCTTTTTAACAGTATTTTCAGCTACACTACTGAAAGAAAGGTTCAAACAATTAGGTTCGCGTTCGATGGGGCATTTCCCATCGAACCCGAATAATTGATCAAATTCCACATCGTTAAATAAGGAGAATCAGAAGAAATTGAATGAGAAGACCTTTTATTCTAGGTACTAGGATTATAAATAAAATAGACCGTGGAGTAGGCCTACTGGGAAAACTACGTTAAAAAACGCAGAAAGTACACTACCTCACAGTATGCATAGTATTAGCAAAGAGTACCCATTACTCTTTGGTATTAGAATCACTTTTTCTCAAAAATACAGCATCAGGACTATAAGCACTACTTTCTTTCACCAAGTGCCAGTACAAGTGACAGTTTGAGAAAAATGTCTAACAGCTTGTTCAAAATAAATACAGCGGTTTAAGGTGTATAATTTCCTTATAATATCATATACAAATACTTTTAAAATATCAACCTTGTCAATCAGTCAAAATTCTACATTATTTCATGGTACGTTATACAAAACAAACAAGTAAGCACAAATGGCAAGATGGCAGAGATCACCTTTTCATTGCACGGTTTGAGCAGTTAAGAGAGATAGATGAAACCCGTACAATTGCGCTAAATACAAATGTAATCAAACTCGAGCATCCATCTCTCTTAATGAACAGGTAATTTGAGTATCTTGACATTACAAATGAAGGTGAGTCTGTCATTTTTAAAACACGGACTCACTAGCTACAATGAGCAGCACAAACAAAAAGCACATATGGCACCCAATAACTGCAACATAAATCATTAATGTTTTTAACCATAAAATATTGATTTACCTACCTCAATCCCACCAATTGTCACAAAAATAATTCCGATAATTGTGATGCTCTGGTGTAGAAATGAGTACAAGATAGGAAAGCAACCATCTTGATATGCGTTAGCTAAATAGCACTGCGTTGGACCCCACTCACAACAGCTAAGGGGGACAGTTACTCCATTCCAATCAGATGGGCCCCGCACACCACAGCACTTTAGCTGAAATAGATGTTTTAATAGATGTTCCCTAAAGGCCAGCGGCCATAATTATAACCAAAATCTTTTTCCCAAAAATGGTTTGCTTGCTTATCTTACCTGACCCTGCAAGGTGTCAAACGTCGCCTGGGCCTGATTGCTATGAGGATACTCCCTCATTGTTGTCCTTAATTCATTCTCAATTGATACTTTATCAGCACCATCAGAATCTTTGAGTTGCATAAAGGCATAAGCACCTATACCAACTTGCAATAAAAATAGCACCAATAAAATAACACCATACTGAAATTACTCATTTTGAACGTTAGAATGAAAAAGTGTCTTTACCGTAATTAACAAGCAATAGCTCTCTTTGACTGCTCCGCAACAACCCAAAAAGGAGATCACAAAGACGACAATGCCCACAACCAGTAGTAGTGTAGGTGCCACTGAAAATGGAATTCCGGTCCTGTCAACTGCTGCAGTGACACTTTTAATGTCCAACAGGTAAACGGCACCTACTGCAATAAATGCTATTCCTGCAAGCTAAGTAACATTTTAACATTACATTCATACGACAGCGCTATGGAAACATTCAAAATATTACAAACACTGAGCATTACGTGTAACAAGACTTTAGGATGAGATTGTGAGCAGTAGGTACAAAAGGTGCAATTTTATATCCAATAGACAGCACAAAATAAAAAGCAGAAAGACGGCCAATAGCAACACTAAAGAAAAAATATAACTCAAAGCAAAAATGTTTAACAAACTTTTATTGGTTTTCTGAACAATGACATAAAACTTACAAAACTGATTTCAGATTTAGCATTACAAAAATTAACTTAAAAAGTAAAGTTACAGATAATAATATAATTTAATAATATATGCTAAAAGAATGAAAATAAAGAAACAAAAACAAAAATATAATAGTAACACTTAAGCGTAGTGTCCTCGTCTTTCGTTATTCTTAATCGAACTGGACAGGCATAACGCAAATACCGCTCCGAATAACTGCAATAGAATTAACGTAATTAATACATTATTCATTTTAAACCGTCACCGATCAATTACCTCGACTGCTGCGATAACAATAATCACAATACCAATAATGTTAAAGGATTTTATAAGGAAATTATATAACTCCTCTCCACAGCCAGAACTGTATGCCTTATCAGCGGGACAGTAATTAGGATCCTGAACTCCCTTACAGCAACTTGCAGGAATCTGACTATGCCAGTCATTTTTATCCTTCGCACCGCAGCATTTCAGCTAAGAAAATTTACGATTTACTCCTGTTCATCGAGAAACGATTTACTCACCTCCTCTTGCACAAAGTCCACTGCTTCCTTTGTCGTTTTGATACCATAGTCCGAAATAAGCTTTGCAAATCCGCTCTGAACGTCAGATTCCTTAAAGCTCGTCTCCTTAGTTTGAATGAAGGCGTAAATACCCACGGCTATTTGCGCTATTAAGATCACCAACAGTATAACTGCGTACTGTAAATACGATTACAATTAATCTTAAAACGACGCCTTAACGAAATAGTTACCGTGGTTAACAAGCAGGTGCTCTCTTTAATCGCTCCGCAACATCCAAAGAATGCAATAACAAAAACAACAACTCCCACCACGATCATCAAAATCGGAGCAACGCTAAAGGGAAGGTCTATTTTGTCGAGTACTTGTTTGAATTCGCTCACATCTAACTTGATAAGGACACCAATAACGATGAAGGCGATACCAGCAAGCTAAAATTGCCAAGCATTAGTTGATGCACGTCAATAATTCATGAAAATATTTTAAGATCTACACCCTCGCCTACACCCATATTGGCCCACTTTGAAATTACCGCTGATCTTTAGAACCCCTCTTTTATTGTAGAATAAAATAGAAAAACTTTTTGTAAATTGTTGTAAACTGAAGACGCCAAATTTGGGCTGTTTGGATCACACAACCACCTCAAGCTGTCGCAATAAGTGTGTGGTGTGTAAATTTAATTTCATAAATTAATGCCACAATAACCTTAATAGGCGCGCTGCTATAACCTCCTACAAAGCCAATTTAATCCTGCAAGTACATAATCATCACCACATAACAAAGTCATTTTCTTATTGGTTTCATTGCCATTTTAATTATCATGTTCGAACACAGACATAGTGTCTAATGACATTTGCTTTGTCTGATGCAATTTTATGATACATATATGTTCTTTGCATTGCACAGATTTTGGATTCACCCCTATTGGATTGCAAATGTTGAGAATTCAAGCCAATATGTAACTACGCAACCGCTGGAAGACCATCCAGACTAATCAACACACGCATAGAACACACAAAACCCGGTGTGAAGTCGCAAATTGTTGGCGGGCAGACTGCATGCGCGAAGTCGGTGATGTGATGTCGGAGTGTCAGACATGAAAAATGTCTTAGACTCCAGTGTATAACCCGACTAAGAATAAAAGTAGAGCGTATCACAGTGAAGGCAGTAGATGTACAAATGCGTGGCAATAAAATAGGACAGTACTTGGTTGTAATCAGCAGCACTGAGCAATATACAGAACAAAGAAGAATCCGAAGAAGTCGAGGAAGGTATGAAGAAGTCAAAGAATTTGGAAAGGTTAAAGACGAGGAATGTGACGATGCCGACGAGGACGAAGATTTACTTTGAACGTCTATTGGCTTACCAGAAACAGTCAAAGAAACTACAGATATGTCGAAGAAACCGAATGGGGTGAAAATGGAGCAATACTTTACAAAGAACCCGAAATGTTTAAAGAATAAATGCGAGTTGCCAAAGTTTCCGAATCCAAAATAGAGCACAATGCTTGTTTGACACTAAGGCGATGCTCACGTTCCACTCAAGCTACGCTCAAAATTGATACAATGAAATCAAATAGGAATGTTCACACTACAGCTAGCACCAAGCTCGCATCTCGGCTCGCACGCAGTGCTATTTGATTTCATTGTATCAATTTTGAGCGTACCTTGAGTGTGAACGTGAGGGTTGCCTTAGTGTGAAACACGCTTCAGATGTTCTTAAAGATCTCCAAGATCTTCAAGCGGATTTCTAGGAAGAACACTAACGAGATATCTAAATGATCTTTAATTATCAATAAGGTTTCCAAAAACATTTATTGACAGTCGAATAAAAACCCAAAAACTAAACTTCCAAGGTTAACACTAATACAATATACAGATTTCTTAAAATTACTAAAAACTTCGCAAAGATATTCTACCTGAGGATATCCCAAAAAAGTTCCTCTTACACGCTCATAACGAGCTCATCAACGATTAATAAATACATGTCACTTTTTAAGATGCCTTAAAGACTAACAAACGTTTCCACAGGATTGGTCCTTAGAGAAAAATCTGAAAGACTAAAAGCTTTTTTGAAAGACTGTTGGAGGACCTTGAAGGCTATTTTCCGAGCTTATTTTCGATTTCTAAAGACTCTCAAAAGACGTCCACAGAATCATCACATCTTTTAAACTTACAAAAATTCTTCAATGTGGGTCTTTTTAACACTATTAAAGCGTACCCAACATAATTGACGAACTATTATGGATTTTCAAACGTTCTTAAAGGCTCTCAAAGCCAAATATGTAAAAATTATTTTCCACTCTTATATTTCGCCCCCTTAGATGTGGTTGTTGTTGAGCAGAATTGCGCATGCGCAAGTGTGAGGGTTGGTATCTGTGCTAGTCGCAGTAAATTTTTTACCTTTGTCGTTGAGGATGGTATTTTTGGTAAATTTTAAAATTCTGTATGTGTCGGATTCAATTTGGTAGAAATGACGGTCTGCCCGTTGCCCGTACCCCGAATCTACTCGATCTCATACCGAGATCGAACAACCCTTCAAAGGCATTGAAACATTTTGTAATGAATTTTACAAATTTAACACTAAAAGTGCATGATATTTAAAATTTCAGGAGTTTCCTAAACATTTTCATAAGAAATATAGATGATTTTTTAGTTAAATTGACATTTTAATAGGTTTGAAAGAGTAGGCTACACCGTTCTTTAACCGTAAGTGTAGATAAAGTGAAACAAATGATCGTGCATTCAAATGACAGCTGTCATTGTTATTCTAAATGCACGATATAAAATCACGTTCAAAACATATGACAATTGTGTTTCTATGGAAACGGTCGCGACGACGGAACCCAAGCTTGCTATTTTTGACGTCTCTAAATTCAATTCAGAATTGTCAGAAACTTTACAATGATTTATATGGCTCCTGCTATAAAATAAAGTTTTGTATTATGCACGAGATTATGCACGACGATAAAAGGAAACTAACCATCTCGTGAAAGTTAATTCACTCAATGGTTAAAATATCCCTTTATCGTCTTGTATAATAAATAACTATTAATGATTTGCTTTTTTCGGGTTTCACGGGGTGGGCAGACTACCGTCAGCGATTTTTATTGATTGGTCTTAGTGACCATGGATACAATAAACAAAACAAAATTTTCACGAATCCATGGTCTACTATTTAAAAGCCGTATAAAATAAAGTTTTTATTTTTGGTTCATGGCTAAAATTTAAGAAAAATATAGGCTGTGATAGTCACAACAATCAGATTTAACCTCTTTCTATCTTACATGAGTAGTAAGATATGGTAACGTGAACACATAGTAACCAAGCATATTGCAGGAATTGCAGGGAGTTATAGGCAGTGATCGAGTATTATAGGCATTATAAAAGCATTACATATGCCGAGACATATGCATTAAGAATTACGGGAGCAGTACAAACATTATTGGCAATAAAATGCTAATTCTGCCGAATCGGCATTTGGTCTCGCATTTGGTGTACAGTATTTGGCTTGGTGGATGACCCCTCGGTACACATTTAGTAATCCATCTCGTAATCCATAGTCAATATAGGGGGTCTTTATTTTTGAACATTTGACGAGGTCTTTCTTTTGCATTGATTTTTCCCTGGATTATTTTAACGACTAGTCAGAAACTTTAGAAGAACTATTGATGTTCATTCCAGAACTCCAATTAGAATTGCAAAATTTTATAAATGATGTGCAACTTTTTTTGTTTTCCAAGGCTGTGTTGCAATAAACTATAAAGAAATCCTGAATTTCAATCGCCGCTTGTTTTTTTTATACTACAGGAGTATACATATATGTATAACCCGAGGTATAACCTTTGTTTGTTCATTACAGATTCCTGTATTAAGAAAGGTAAGAAATTGACTAAAACATTTTTCGTGATGGTACCGACATCTACGTTTTAAAATTTAAACTATGTCTTGAAAACCATCACAATTCTGACCATTCTTCGGATAGCGATAAATTCAAAATTCAATGCCTACACTTAACCTTTCGTGACCTGTTTTAACTACAATATAACCTCTTCAAATAGCAAACAAGTTACCAAGAGATTAGCCTCGGCTTTGGCGTTGTCAATCAAATTAAACATGCATAGACAAGACTACTCAATTTTCGTTATACGTCAACATAAGTGTGCAAATTGGCTTGCTTGTATCGTAGTTTGCGGTTTTTATTTTTTGCGTATTATCTACGACGATTATTGGTATTTTCCGGTGGTTTACAGCTTTCCCTTATGTTCGCGTTTTTTTACGCGTAGAAGAAAATTTCTTTGATGTTTTTGACACATCAAGTTAGTGTGAAACTGATGATGTGATGAAGCAAACCACACAGACAGAATTTTCCATCTTATTGACTATTGTATGTTATCATCTCGGTTACCATTCAATTAAAAATATATGTTGCCCCTTTTTCAATATCACCATATGTATGTGCGACCAACCTTGGCGGTATTTTTTATTTGTTAACTAACCATAATTTTATCAAACTTCTCTTATATTATCGGCCACCACACTGTGATAAGGAATTATTAGTGAATTCCATAATAGAAGTAAATAACGTTTCCAGCACCGCCTCCCATTCTAGGGTAAAATTTGTTAAAATATTAGCAATATCCTCGACAATATCTTCCAATTACACACCTTGCTACACATATTTTTGTGTTGTTTATTACTCATTACCTGTTGCGCATGTGAACTACAAAAGAAATCGAAAATGATATAGAAGATAGGAAATAATTATAAAAAGGGTGCCCAAAAACAAAATCACTTCCGCCCCAATGTAGAGTCAATTTTTGAGGGCATAACCCTTGAAATACGACGTTTCTGAGTTTGATTTACTTAATTGTCGCATAAAATTCGAGGTCGTAGGTAATTGTAATTGAACAATGGTTGGGAATTTTTCTGCTTTGTTGTCACTCCCTGTCCCCAAAACTCAAGACAGATCTCGAGACAGATAAATCTGCTACTTAATTGCCACGAAAATGAGAAATTTCCCCGCTAATCCTATGTCAAGGTACTTTTCGAGTGACTCAGTTTCGCAAGTAGATGAATCATTTCCATTCGTTCTGATTGCAATACGCAAACAAGTTTATAACAAATGAGTTTTTTGAATCACGTGAAGCACACGATTTTAAAGTCGACCAAAAACAAATAGTGACCACGTCATAATTACTGCAAGAGCCTTTAACGGAAAATGCCACGAACTAGACCTTTAAAGAAAGGCCGCGGCCGTATTACGTGTTATGAATAAATTGAAGGGGTGCAGGGTAACAAATATATAAATCCGCGCCTGAAACGGAAACATCAATTTTATGTACCTATAATTAGTTACAATTCCGACTAGTAACGAAGCAAATATTTACAGTAACTCACGCTGTTATCGCCTTATCTATAAATATTAAAACGCCCAACCGATAAACCTCCCTTTGGGCAAATAATCTAAAAGTGAAATCCCAAATGGCACTAAATCCGGTCCTGCAGTTTCGAAACGACACCTGTGGACTTTCAAACTATGTCGTTGCAATCGCGTGACCTTTTGTGCACGTAAAAAAACGAAACCCTTACATAGTAAATAATGAGTGACCTCGTAAAATAATCAATAAAAAAGCCTAAATTGGGATGGAAAACAACAACTTTTCCATTCAAGGTCTGCATCAAGTTACATAAGGTTGCTCAATAAATAATGTTCCCATATAACTGTGTTCTGGTGACTTTTAAGAAAATCAACAAGTGTTCGTATACTTACAACGAAGATGAAATTAAATAAAAACACGAGGTATTTCACTATAGACGTAGCGCAACCCATTTTTGTTAATTTGCACTCTACTCGCAGGCGATCACAAACTTTGTTTGATAATTTCTAAAGCACTAACAATGCGTTGGGGGTTATTATGGGTAAAAAGCGCAGATAAAAACCGAATCTTAACGACTTGTACTTGGAACCGAATAGCGTTACTGACTCAGTTCAGTTCAGAGTGAATAACATTGAATTTAGGCGATGGCGGGAAGAAAAGGGGCGCTCTGTTGAAAGGAGTAGGGTGGGATATAAAACACCCATTATGATGACGTGTGACGCTTTCGACTTATGACTATACGAGATAACCGCATTCAAATTCCTACAAATTACATCACGTACGGGTTTTTTAATCATAGAGAAGGAAAATTTATTTGTAAAACGTCACGGCGGTACACAAATCGAATTTGTGACTCATTCATTGTAAGAAAATTACGCGCGTCTATTTGTACCCGTTAAAAATGACGTAATTACGCAACCTCATAGTGAATCTGACTTTGAACCGTAAGAAAGTCTGTCTTTTATACATATATGCTATTTTTACTTTCTGGTCGTTTTGTTACAAAACTTTAAAACGTGGCATCGTGACCTGCGCAATCTTTACCTGGGAATTACCATTTTATATTTGGGACCTTCAACCTTATTGCCTTGAATCGTAGACAAGGCGATTGCTGGCGCTGACTAATTTTCTGATAAACAAGTTTAAATCATATCCAAACTAGCCACGTAGGTCCTGTGAACGCTTACGTAACAGAAACCTTTTTTTTTGTCAAACTTGCAAAAATGCTTGTTTTAACTTCAGAGCGTACTATCTTTGCTTAGATTCAAAATGGATTCAAATATTAATAAATTAAACTTGAATGTAGCGGTATACTTATAATTGTTATGTTTTCTTTAGGTAATCGATTTCGGCCCTAGGCCATCGTCAAATATTAAATCTTAGGACCTCGGAATATTGGTACTAGTTCAGAATCATCATATCTATGAATTATGTATGTGCTGCAACGGAATACAACTCCGGTTTTGTACCGCCTAATGAAATGGTACTTCAGCTTCAGACTGAACCTGAAGTGCTTCATTTCATTGGGGTTCTAATAAAGAGTAATCTGTGGGATTCCATACGGCTAAACTTTTGATAGGACTACAGGGGCGACGGGCGGCTCGAATTAAAGCCTATGACGTCAAATTTATCGCAAATAAAAACCCCTTTGGGTTTATTCAATATTCACCAAATCCAGGCCCCGGGTTATAAATGGGCCAACTGGGCTATATATAAAGGCACCAAAATAAATGTAGGTACTTATATCATGCAACGTGTAAGAACGATATTTTAGGGTAGTCCTTAATAACGAAAAAGTAAAATGTCAACGCAACCCCTATTTGATAAATGTGGCAAGCTGGCTAGTCAAGTATGCGCGATTCTGCACATATGGATGCAAAGGTCTTAAGGGATCGTGTACTGTTAAGTGTTAAAGGCTATATAAGGCAGTTAAGTTGCGTACGCGCTCTGGTCACGATCGTATAAGGGATGCTAAGTAGAGCATCGGAGGTATTAGTGAGTTTGATCATGTAATGGCCCTTTACTGTGAGTGTCTCCCACGTGTAGGTGGTGAGTGTATTGTGCAAGCCATCGTGCTGGTCGTGCTTTGTTGTTGGGCTATTAGGTAAAACCCCTCGCAGATATCCGGATATATTCCTAGGCTGTTAGAGTGCACTATGTGCATGTGCCTATGACGCGGTTCCGCGGGTAGCTCCCGTTGATTATACCGCTGAGTGATCTACTCGCTCGAGTAGATCATGGTGTCGACCCTCCTAATACGAACCATTCAAGGCCTCATTGCTAGCAAAAAGAGTTCGGGAGTGAGCTTGACCTGGAGGCAATGTAAGGCATGCACGGTGGTTGATCTATTGGCCGAGGCGGGATGTGTATCCTAAATAATACACGTGTGCGCGGCGTAACCCTTTCCCAAATAGGTATGAGCTCCATCTTAACCCTTCAGGAAGTCATCCTCAACGACGCATTCAACCCCAATCGCCAACCGGAGTGTTCGGAAGTCCAGGAGAGCTTAGTGCCAGCTCGGGGCTGACGCCCCTCGGTGAGTTACCTGATTAATTGGCGAGGATCGCGGTTAAGCAGTCGCGATATTTGTTTACATCACCCTTGAGCGCGGGAGACGATCAGTCAGACTAAATGCTGCCATATGCCAACCCCTTACGCGTAGATTACAGAAGAACGTTTCTAATGAAAGGTGAGTTTACAGTAGATTTGTCGCATCTTAATCCCATATAGCACACTTTGTACATCGGACGTACATTTTAAGTACATTGTACGTACATACATCCATGGACGAATGATGTACATCCTATGTTCGTACACAAATGGACGTACTTTTTGTAATGTACATTGTACGTACATTGTAGGAGGGGATCAGTACGTATCGATAATTATTTTATAATTAATGTATTTTATGCATCTGATGATTGTCTGCAGTTTGCGCCGCTAACTGTTTATCTTTTTTATTAACATATTTTTTCCGCCAAATATTTGTAACGTTTTTCCCGGTCAACGAAGAAATACGACAAAACGCGATTACTGATTCATGCGGTCGCCGCTCGCGGCTCGCCGGTCATTCTTTATGGCGTTGTGTTGTTGTATTTATTTAATCTAAATCACGTTATTTTGTTAGAAAAACTTTGTGTACTAACTTTTGTGATTCTTCGCGCAAACTACTATAGTGTTCTGTGACTAAATGACCTTCTAATAAGTAAGTTAATTTAATTACATTGGAACACACCGTAGCATTTTTGTTTTGCAGAAGCCTGTATGACTATTTTCAAGGATACCACATTAAATGAAATAGAGCAAAATATATCTAAATGGATAAGGCGTTGTGCGGAAAGGGGAAAGGATAAAAACGTGTGAATTGCATAAACCTATATATATTTATGTATCATATATTTACTTCAATTAAATCGTTTTGAATTTCGTTTTTTTCTTCTTTCATTTGCACCTTAATCTGCACCCATGACAATAACAGAATTTGTACATTTTAAGTACCTACCTCTATGTATGTTCCATGTACGTACTGTAATGGACATACATTAAAGGTACAGGGCTATGTCAAATGGACTAAAAATGGACGTACATATTTTGTACAATGTACAAAAATGGACGTACAATGTACAATGCCAAATTCAATTGACTACGTACGTTGTACATCCATAGTACGTTCATGTGCTATATGGGATAATGACTTCTGGCCAACAATCAGCTCCCATTCAATTAATGATTTCCCTTGTTTTTTTATAAAAATACCCCCATTACAAACGTTTGTTAGTAAGAGCTGTTTATTTCTGCCAGTGGGACATATTCTTACTCTCCTCTGTGGTTCTTGATGCAATTTGTTTCAAAATTAATGCGCATAAATGAAGCTCGGTCACTAAAGTACACAATTTAACTATTATAAAACATTAGTTACAGGGGACGCTGAAACATAGCAAGGCAGCGGTAGTGTCTTCTATGTTTTATAATATTAAATAACACGGGTATTGAGGGTTACTGACAAGCAATAATTTATAATATTTCATAGCAATATACATACACTAAATTGCAAGGCCGCCGATACCATCAAAATGCCCGGAGGCCTGGGGTATGTTAGGGGCATTATCTCAATGGTTAGGGGCCTGCCCCAAGGTAACTTTATAACCTGATTTTCAAATTGTATTTTAATTTGAATTTTTAACAGTAATTTTTTTGCGAATATTATCCCTAAGCAGAGCATAAAATAACACAGAAAGTAGGCGAGATCAATGCCCAGTTCCAAAAACTGGTCGCCCTGTGGGCGCCAAGTCTCAATAATTTACCAGTAAGCTGAAATTTAGCAAGGTACTTTGTTTAAGGATCTAAACACCCTCTTGAAACCCCAACATCGAGGCGTTGTGCCCGTCACTCCAAAACCACTCCCCGAGTGGGATAAAAACCAGCTTTTGGGAAATTTTTTTTAATAACTCTAAAACGGAGCATTTTAAGAAAAAATTTCAAGAGAGAAAAATTTAAGAAAAGAAAATTTCCTGCCAAATATGTATACATCAAATTTTTTAGATGTAATTGAGTGGCGTAGATAAAATTTTCAGCAACCCATTCGAAATACTCGGAAACTGTTCACTTAGATTGCCTACAACGTGATGAATTCTGCCTGCAAGGAGGTCTTCGGTCACCCCCGTAACTCTAAGCAACCACCCCGCCCCAATAGTAGGGCGTCTTGACTTTTCCGGCACCCCATTCTCCGTTTAGTTCGTACTTGCCGTTAGTGTTGCTGTGAAGAGTCAATATTCTCCAAACTCTCCTTTTTATCGCATTTTTGCAAATTTACAATATCGTCATTGTTATGCTTTGTTTACATGTGAAAATCTTCCTCCTGCTTCCCAAAACTAGTTGTGGCTCTCATTTCTTTGACCCCACATAGTCCCGGACTAGAAGGCCCACACTATTTTAAAAAGCAGTCGAATTATTCTAGAGTAGCAATAAATGCTAGGACTGTGTAGGCACATTTTCATCTCAGGCCAGCAGTGGGAAGGTTTCTCGAAAAAAAGATCGCAGACGAAGCCTTCCCGACGTAGAAACGTATCAAGATCAGGAATTCATACAAAAATTCTTCACGGCTTTTTCACTGGCGTGGTATCCTACTCCTACATTGATTTTTTCTGTGTTTATCAATTCGTTAATGGAAGGAAAAAATCTGTCATTATATGCCCTTTGTCTGAAGTTGGTCGCCCAGACAAAATTCCTTAAAATAAACTCTGTCCCTAAGTGAGGAAGAAAAATTGATTTTAAGTAAAACTGAGCAAGATTATCTTTAATTACTGAGGGTTATGGTATACTGTCAGGTATAGCTTGACAGTCCAGTCTCGACCCTCATTTAATTCTTGAACGCTCAGTTTTAGTTTTTACCTCACTGTCAACTGCACTGCACTGCATCACTTATGAAATAATTCTTTAAAAAACCCATTTTGAAGAATAGCTGTTTATGTACAAATTTTACGAAATGACCGATTTTGAGTCTTATTTTGTGAAACGGGCTAGAAGGACTTCTTGAACCCCGAAAAGCCTACGAAGGTAAAAGAACAATCGAATAGGCCTTGGTTAAGAAAAATGATACCAAACTTAAATAGTCCGGAGGATTAGCAAATAATCGTGCACTTTTGTATAGAAGCATGAATTTTGGTATACGACTTACCTATACCCCAACAGTCATTTTAAACATTAGAGCCACTCTGACTCTCTGCCAGGGGGGGCGTAGGGTGCCCATTTCAAAATGGCGGCTTTAGCAGTGGTACCCATTCGGTAATACCTCTGCCAACTCGCAACCATAAGGGCTAGAACAAAATTAAAACACGGATTTTGTTGAGCACAAACTTAACTAAAAAAATGTTATATTGATATTGACCCTAAATGTATTGAGTGTGGCTTTTTTTGGGGTCAAAGTTAACCTTTGTTGTTTTTCCCACAAAAAGTCGAGAATTTAGGCTTTCTTCACTCAAAATACTGTTTTTATTCATCTTTTTAGATGTATAGTTAAACTTATTAACATACATAAATTAAATTTAATTAATTAAATTAAATTAATGAAATTGTAATTTTATATTATTTGTTTTGTTCTATTCTTCGTATAGTAAAATCTTGTATGTAGTTTGAAAAGAAAATTGAAACTTTTGAATAATTATTATTATAATTAATTAATTATACAATTAAGTAATACCTATTGTACTATAGCTATAATTCACGATCGCATCCACCACACTTGGAACGTGGAGTGCAAGGCAAGTTCGATTTCGTACACTTGCAGGAAGCACATATACGCTGCGCTTACAGTGACATTCCACCACTTCCTTGTAAACTTCGCTCGCTGGAGGCAGGTCCATCCATTTTATCTGAAATAGAATCGAAAGCTTCAATTAATTTATATAATATGCAACTTTAACTATTTTGATGTAGTGCAATTTGTCCTCACTTACCTCTCACCTTAAGTTGCTGCGCTTCAACCCGAAATAACCTGGATCAGGAAGATCAGGGTTTCTTTCGAGGGCTTTACCCCAGACATGACCTCCTTGGTAGACAGCACGGAGCAGAGTCCTGAGGTAACTGTCAACGACTGCAGAAGAGTCCTATTTGTTCACAAGGGTAGGCAAATTGAGAATATTCCCCCTACACAGGATTCTTTTCGTCTCCATCTGCCTACCAAGGAGGTCATGTCTGGGGTAATGTCCTCGAAAGAAACCCTGTTCTTCCTGATCCAGGCGATTTAGGGTGGACGCGCAGCAACTTAAGGTGGGAGTAAGTGAGAACAAATTGCACTACATCAAAATAATTAAAGTTGCATATTATATAAATTGACTGTAAGCGCAGTGTATGTACTTCCTGCAAGTATACGAAATCGAACTTGCCTTGCACTCCACGTTGCAAGTGTGGTGGATGCGATCGTGAATGATACCTATAGTACAGTAGGTATTACTTAATTGTATAATTAATTAATTATAATAATAATTATTCAAAAGATTCAATTTTCTTTTCAAACTACATACAAGATTTTACTATACGAAGAATAGGACAAAACAAATAATATAAAATTACAATTTCATTAATTTCATTTAATTAATTAAGTTTAATTAATTTAATTTATGTATGTTAATAAGTTTAACTATACATCTAAAAAGATGAATAAAAACAGTATTTTGGGTGAAGAAAGCCTAAATTCTCGACTTTTTGTGGGAAAAACAATCAAGGTTAACTTTTACCCCAAAAAAAGCCACACTCAATACATTTAGGGTAAATATCAATATAACATTTTTTACCTAAGATGGTGCTCAACAAAATCCGTGTTTTAATTTTGTTCTAGACCTAGTGGTTGCGAGTTGGCAGAGGTATTACCGAATGGATACCACTGCTAAAGCGACCGTTTTGAAATGCGCACCCTACGCTCCCCCTGGCAGAGAGTCAGAGTGGCTCTAATGTTTAAAATGACTGTTGGGGTATAGGTAAGTCGTATACCAACATTCATGCTTCTATACAAAAGTGCACGATTCTTCAAAATATCGCGTTTGTCGTCCGGACCAAAACCTAAGGCTGTACAGAATACAAAAGTTAACGTTCTTCTGTTTGGGTGGACGATTACACTGGCGAAGTTAGAGAAGCACTATGGGTGTAAACCACAAGGAATAGTTTCCTTATATTCTACCATCATAATTGAGAGTCGATAACAAATTTTGCTTCGCACAAACCAAATTATACCACTGGATTAGTTCATTATACAGAAGCTGGCCTCAAGAGCCACTAGTACAGCCTGAGAATTCAGGCAGGTATGAATTTCTATCCTTCATTTTAATACCTAATGGCACAGATAAAATATTGGGTATTTTATCTGTGCTAATGGGTTCATGTCCATTGCGTTCAATATTTATACAGTTTCAAGGTTAATTAATCGCGTGTCACGGCTTTGCGGTCTTTTAAATTTTAATGCGTTTTTTAAAAAAATGTATGTTCTCGAAACAAATAAACAGATAAGGGCAATTATTCTTATGATTAGGCGCAACATAGTAACATCTCAAACAACAAAATTAAGTAGATATACAAGGATTACTCCGATTTTAATTCCCTGTACATATTTTATGACCTATGGATTTTCTAAACACTTCCGCTTTACGAGTAATTTGCCCTATTTAGGTTGAAAGATAACACCATGATATCTACTCGTATGTTGTCTCATCATAAAGATAAACAGATTCTGATACATTCGATGTGTTTGCACAGATCAAATGAGAAATGTTGCAATCTTCCGTGGGCGAAATTACTTATCTATTGTATCTATGGAACACTAATTATTTAATTTATCATATTTAAAAGTATCTCCATGCAATATAGAGATATGGTAGCTTTTCGGTAACATCTTACTCAGAGCAGAGACTTTGTACCTGCTTGAGTTGGAACTTGAAA